CGTCAGCTGTGACTGTATGTAATAATCATCAGCATACATTAAAATACTTAATACATGTCAACCGACGCACTTCAAATAGATTATTAAAATGACAGCTGTCAGGCGAACCGCGTACCGGCGCGCAGATACACTGAAACATATATATATATATATATATATATATATATATATATATACTTAATAAAAAATTAATAGTACATCAAAAAATCACAGTACGGGACACATTAACGCAGTGCCATGACAGGAAATCGTGTTGATTTGAAAGCCTACATTTATTATACACGAAGATACAGGAGGGGGCGAAGGGCTAATAGATGCTCACCTGTGAGGCGGCCGGCGGCAGGTGACGGGGAACGCCCCTTCCTGACGCACCACCAGCTTGACATTTGATATTTTTAATATCACAAAGGCGAATAGGTATATCTGCAGGCGAACAAAACAGCTCTAGGCTTTCTAAAGAACATCGCTACTATAATACATGCACGCTAAGATTATTATGTCACATACCTAATCTATAGTACAATCTAAACAAACTTTATATATTTTTTGTTACTACTAAAACTAGAATATATTAAGATTTATTTTATGCAATTAAATGTGGAAGCAAAACTCAAGAACATGAGCCGATTTTGGCTTCTAATTAAACCTTTGCAAAAATTGCCTTTATGTTGTGGGGACAAAGACGATATTGGCATAAGATGTTTAGTGCACCCCCCGTGATATCTGATCCGCAGATGGCGCCACATTCACGAACACCTGTTACAAAATGAATGAATCCTAAAAAATATGTTCAGGGGACGCTTTATTTGAGACATGCTACGTACTCTGAGACGCCGAAGATTTGTACTTAGTAAAAGCTGTGACATACAAATATTTTATTTATTTTTTAATGTTAATTACTACCTCGAAAGGTATTGAATTGTATCCTTCCACTCGTATCAGGAATAAATAGAGAAGAGAAATTAAGATAAAGCTAGAAATATACATCGAAACTATATATAATATGTTGTATATATCCCGTAATGACCATCAGTATCCGTATCCAGGAATTAAAGCTAGCGACAATTACGTAAAGGACGAGTCTTGCGAAATCTACGGTTAAGGTCACAAAAAAGTAACATTGACTCGAATGCACACAGCGGCCCGCAGACGGCACGCACACACGGACACGCGGCGACTGTGACGACACGGCGTGACGTCACAGTCGGCACGCGAACACACCCACACGCGCGCACACACACACAGCCGCAGATGTAAACAAAGTGACGTAGACACGTGACGCACACAGAGGCGCGCGCCGCGGCGCACACAGCCAGTCATCAATGTAAACAAACCGGTTTGAATCGAGTCACTCACACAGCCGGCCGGGCTCGAAAGTGGGCCATCTTATTTGAACGATGGAAATTAGCTAATAATATTACGATACTATATTGTTTACGTTCTAATTTAGAACTGTTCTATTTTATTGCTTTGTTTTTTTTAGTTGTTAACCACGTGGCTAAAGCAAAAAAAAAACAATTGCGGTAGGTTATGACACGAGTCCCGACACAATATTGTGATAGTTTCTCAATGTATATCGGGGTTGGGGTCAAAATGGTTGGAATATAAAAATCAGGAGGATTCTTTGGTGGGGAGGCTTAAGTCATCAGACAACGCAGAAGCCACGATTTTTTACAACAAAGAACGATAAAAACCAGTGTAGATAGTGGAGTGGTGAAAAGAATTAAATGTAATCACAATGCAGTCGCGAACAGAAGTTAAAACAGCCTGGATGTGAAACAAGTATGGTCATAAATAAAAACGAATAGCTCACAGCCCACGCATACTGTTATTACACTCGGATTTATGGCTTTTACCAAAAAATTACCGTTTTCGGGGCGGGCCATTTTTATTGTGCCCGGGATCATAAAATAGAGAAATAACGGATGCGGTAATTTTGTCTTTTTTATGCAAAAATTTAATGAATGTCCCAAGCGTAATAGACCCATTAGAATGTGACAAAAATAAATTAGTTCGTTTCGAGATGTTTCGTGTTATAAAAGAAATATAATTTAGCCGTAACCCTTAATGTGTTCGCTTTCTAAACTAGTTTTTGTTTTCGGTGGGTGTGAAATATGCTTCCGAGAATACGAAAGCGGATTTTATTTGTAATAATTATTAACGTATCTGGCAACTTTCTAACGTTAAAAACAACAAGTGACGGAAAACATTTCACACGAATCATACAAGGACTAAAGATAATCATTTTAAAATCACTTCTTATTTGCTGAAACTGTTCATAATTTAACAAGTAACTTACTAGTAGTAAAGTACAAGTAATTACTATGAGTAACACTTATTTACGTAACAGTGTCTCGCATCCCTATTTAGGAGTTTTATATCAGAATTATATATAAGAGAACATCCGATCATATGTGTATTTTGTTTAAATATCCTTCGTTTTAAAATTATTATTATATTAAGATATTTAATGAGCAACTTTTATTTTCATCATCAAAAGCGCAATATTAGGCCTGCCATATTGCACCTCTCCCTACGATTGTTATAGTCCTCTTCTTAATAAAATACTTTTATAGAAATCAAATTGTTTAAAGAACCTTCGACCTTGTATTTCAGATAAGCGATATACGTATATTTAAATCCTTTCATACAAAACCAATTATTTTTAATGTGTAACATATCATAGTCGAATTTTTTTACTGCCAACAATAAAACCTGTTTTCAGATCATTAACTATAAATCGTTTACAAATTATTTTTTGTTCTTATTATATTTAATGTGAAACAGTACAAATGAAATATAAAGAAAAAAACAGTCCGAGCACAATAGAACAGGCCTCGACCTCGCCACTGACCTCTATAACACAGAGTTCATATCACAGCTGTAACAAAAACTACTTGAATATATATTAATACAAATATACCAAATATATTCATAGCTCATTTTACAAACCTGTACATTCCAAATTTGAATTTCAGTGTGTTACAGTAACAAGGAATATTAGTTTTGGTCGTATCGCGTATGTAACTGTAGTCTGTAATCATTTTAATCCGATATTTTCCGTTCAGTAATTGAAGTCGGATAAGACCTCGTGCTGTCCCAATTACCGACGTTACTTTTAAAATTTTTACAAGTTTAAGCCTGTTTAAAAATTCAACACACGACCAATGGCAACCGCCGCGTTCTATACGGACTATATTAACGACTGGTTTATTTAAATCGTATTTAACTCGACCGATGCACCGCGTTCTATTTTGTTCGTTATCTCGAACACAGTAAAGTGCATTTTGCGATGTAAATTAATCGTAATCATTCGTGTATAGAAATGAAACCAGATTCTCATCTATTTCGTATTACGTCACGATCTGTATCTCATCCGTTCGTAATAATTTAACCTTTATGAAGTCCCCGTATGGACCGATATCGCATAAACAGTTCCGGGTGTGATCGGCTGCACCGTACGTGCCTACAACGATAACGAATCGACAATGCCAATAACAAGGCGGACTGTGGAACAGCTGTGCTATCGCCGCCATTTTTTATTTTTATTTTTTTTTCTAATCAAACGCTCACGGCTCCCGTCCTCGAGTGCCAGTATTTTCCGTCTCCATCGTCAAACTGAATAGAAGTAAATCGAATCTTGAATCGATTCCACGTGATATTCGACTTAATTCAGTAGATTGCGAAAACGTTAAGTCGTGCGGCAATTCTTTACAAATGGTAGGTAGGTACTTCAGTAACGAACAATGAAACGTTCAATTTTAGATTTGTATGATCGATTCGGTTTTAACGAGTGCTATAATTGAATCTGTTTAAAAATCATGTCCAACTTATCAGAAAATTACGTGTTAGTCATGCTCGCACGTATTTTATTTTATACACGAAAATCATGTTTCATATCGCCTTCCTTATGTTCTCGTACCAATAAGAAGTTATTCTTTTTATTTTAAGCGTTATTATTCAAGGAATAACAATAAAGTGGTTCTTTAGACTCGTTCTAATAAATATAAGACAGCTTCAGACAATGTTGCCCTCCACAAATGACAATTTATGACAACATTGAAAATAAGCCTGTCTATATACATCAGTAGACAGCAAATCATTATAATGTGCACATCAATGTTATAAAATAGCTCTGTATCGTAGTTTTAATCGTCAAATATAATTATTATCGCGAGTATTTAATAAAGTACAACAGGATATAAGTGTGTAAACTGTTAGTAATCTTTATTATCCCTCGTTAAATCGTGCCTATCGGTATTTATAAACACTATTTATGAACATATTTACAAAATAACAGTCTCGAATAGAAAGTTACGTTTAATGATTTACTAGATGAGTTCCTATAAATGGGTAATGTTTTGATTTCAGATTCAACCTATTGTATATTAATTATATTATTAAAGATAATTCGTAATAATATATTATCTCTTTTATTTTTTATATTAGGTCGTCAGTAGGTTCTATTGAGGGTTTGCAACTTGTTATTAACTCAATAAACTAGAAATCTTACCGACCCATAGAACTTTGTGAAGGAATTTATTTTGACATTGTGTAACCTATTTATCGAATAAAAGAAATGTTTTCATACAATTGTTTTTCACTATATGACAATAATATTTTTATTTGTATATTAAAAGTAACACGAGCCGTTCTCAAAATGTCATGCTCTAGTAAGTTACAGCGGTTCATTTAACTTGCGCAATCGTAACCGGCGACGAAAATCAAGCCGTCCTTAGGCGACCTCAAAAACTATTTCATAAAGAAACGTGATAATGCAAACAGAAAAATATACTTATAACCAATCAATATGAATTATCTACTAGAAACTGTTCAAATTACAATCAGATAGTTACTTTAAACATAGGCTTTTGAGAAACTTGAAGTAATTTTGTTTTCGCCATGGGACTTTAACAGAAGTACATAAAGTCGACCAAGCATAAACCGCTACTAAGAAATATTTAAATATCCCTAAAACAAGAGTCAATATGATTTAACTTATGTGTCGTGATTGTCATGTACGGTCATATGTTTGGTCATCATCAGGTCATGACATGACTTCAAAATCTATCTCCTATGTATCTGTTAGACATGTTTTAATGCCAGTTTATTTATTCCCAGGTTTCCACCTGAGTGGCGTGGTCCGGGCCCCCGCTGCCGTCCCTCCTTGCTCTGAACCGGAGCGCCTCTACAGGGTCACTGTCTCCTTTGATAGGTAAATATTTGGAAACAAACATAATATATTATCTAAGAGTATTTAGACACCACTTACAGACTGTGAAGAAACACATTGTGAGGAAACCTGGACTTATAATTTTACAATTATAAGTTTGAAATCATCAACTCATATTGAGCAAGCGTGGTGATTAATGCTCAAACCTTCTCCATGTAAAGAGACCTTTTAGCAGTGGGCTCTGATAGGCCAATGACATTGAAAAAGCTATATTATCCATATTAATTTACACTACAATTATTACAAGATTTCACACATTACATGTAAATTCTGTTTGTTTTGTTCCAATTCCACATTGATGTGAGTTGTGTTGTTCCAGATGTAAGATCACAGGTGTAACATGCAGTTGCGAGGCTCGCGACATCTTCTGGTGCCAGCACGTGGTAGCCCTAGCGCTGTACAGGATCAGGAATGCAGACAGCGTTCGACTCAGGGTGCCTATATCAGGTAACATACATACATTCATACTAGCTGAACGATATCAATATTGTTTAATATAGTGTGATTAACAAGAAGATATAGAAATATAGATTAAATATCAAACTTAATTACAAGTGGTTTGAAGTAATATAAAGGTGAAAGACGAAGACATGTATGCAGGCTTTCATATAGCCTCTGTTTCTCACAATCTTTCTCTTTCTTTCTTTCCTTTTCAGTCATGATAAAAAAATCCAGATAAACTTTAATGGTACATACAAATCATGACTAAGTTACAAGAAATCTACATAAGATATTTAATTTAATTATATGATGTATTAAACAGAAACCCTGCTGCAAATGGACCGCCAGCAGTTGCAGAAGTTCGTGCAGTACCTGATAGCGGAACACCACACGGAGGTTCTGCCTACAGCCCAGAGACTGGCAGACGAGGTGCTTCAGGCGCGCTCCGCCATCAACAGGATCTGCGGCGCTCCAGACCCTACTGCCGGGCCGCCGCCTGACGCGCATCATGCCTGGCACCTGGACGAACAGCAGGTAGGATAAAAAATACACACATTGGATGAATAGATATGAACTGATGCCTGTATGGATAATAATGACATAATAAAATATATGACCTGTATGAACACAGTGGCTGAATGGTGATGAACTGCTGCCTGTATGGATAACTAGCTTGCCTCGCCCGCGTGGAGTTCGGGTTATATCGCGTTGCCAAGAGAACTTTTCAAAAGTCTGGGATAAAACTATCCTATGTTCTTCCTCAAGGTCAACTCTATGTCTGTACCAAATTTCATTAAAATCAGTTCAGTGGTTTTGGCGTGAAAGCGTAACAGACAGACAGACAGACAGAGTAACTTTCGCATTTATAATATTAGTAGGGATGATGACATTATAAAATATATGATCTATATGAATACATTGGCTGAATGGTGATGAATTTCTGCCTGTATGAATGATATTAATGATACATATAAAATATATGATCTGTATGAACACATTGGCTGAATGGTTATGAACTGTTGCCTTTATGAATATATCTTTAATCTTTATCTGGTTAAAATGGTGGATACAATTTTGTTTTATTATTGCTGTGTAAGAAATTATTTATTGTTTTTTAATAAATTTCAATATTCAATATATGGATATTGTCTGATGATTTGTTCCATTACTTTTACATGTACATTTGTTACGATCCTTTATCAACTGAATTTAAAAAATATCTTTAAAATTGTGTCATTTGTAAACTATATTAATAAATATATTGATGTATTCTTATAACAATTTCTAAATTTAAACTTCTAACATTATTGTCAAATACATTGCTAAATGTTATCATTACTATGTTTCAGGTGTGCGAGCAAGTCAGGGCGTACTTACTACAGGGAACATATTATAACGCTAACAAACAGCTTAATTCATTATTTTCTAAAGTGAGTATTAATTGTGTTAAAACTACAAATTATTTGACTGTCCACTGATAAATAAAAAAAACTGAGTTAGAAATTAGTTATTTAATTAACTTGTTACCTGATTACTAAGGGAATAATTTTCATTAAATTATTATTATCTATACGTTGTAGGTCCGTGAGATGCTCCGTGCCCAGGATTCCAACGGTCCGCGGATGTTGATGCTGATGACGGAGCAGTTCCTGTCCGACCCTCGCCTGCTGCTGTGGAGGAACCAGAATACGCCAATGACGGAGAAGTGTCGCCAGCTGTGGGAACAATTAGGTACAGTTACAATCATATTAATATTAGGAATGACCTGGAATTACCTAACCTGACGTGGAATCCAGAAACCTGGACATCTGGAATCCTTGAAACTCTGAAACCCAGTCACATATTCCAAACCAGTTCTCATTATTTTTCTTCTTCTATTTCAATTTCCCAGCTATAGCCAGGGTCTGTTTTACATGTTGTGTATAGTTTTGACTAATCGTTTTTACGACCGGCCGCCTGCCTGACATCAACCCTCTTTTGGGAATCAACATTAATCAGTGATGTCTAAATAGTCTTAGAAAGTACATATGACTCGGAAAAATCACATTGGTACTTGCCAGGATCGAATCCGCGCCCTCATGCATGAGAGGCGGGCCCGTTAACCACTAGGCCACCACTGACTTTACTCATTATATGTGTCTCAATGATATTGTTGTGTCCAGGTGCCTTATGGGTCAGTATAGTGCTGGACCCCGGGAGTAACAAACAGTATCGCATGCAGTGGAGACATCTCCTGGAGAAGTGGTCCGCGGTCGAGGTCTGCCCCACCGAAGACCCTGACTACAGGTCCTTCCCATTGGTATGTAACAAACATACATACATTAACATTACTACAGCTATACATACAATATTTTAAAACCCATGCAATATATTGCCAGTCCTCTTAATAAAATTTTCTTATAGCACCTATTACATAATTATTTTGCGTTAAAGTGTTCTTGTCGTGACTTTATATAATTTGCTTATTTTTTTAACTAATAAGTGCATATAAACACATTATTTTTAATTATTATTTAATACTATTAACATGAAATATTATAAAGAACCCTTTATACGTTTTTACAATTGTTAATATTTATATCATTTTAGGTACAAAAATTTCTTTCCATCAACTGTAACATGAGAACATATAGCACTACTGTAATATGTGAAACTTATTTTAATATGTTTTCAGTACGCGAGAGAACGGGAGAGAAACGAGCGAGACCGAGACAGAGATCACAGAGACAGAGATAGAGAGAGACATAGAGATAGAGAGGAGAGAGACAGAGACAGAGAGAGGATAAGAGAGAGAGAGGAGAGGGATAGGTGAGGACTGGTATTATAAGTTACTAGTACTACAACTGTCTATTAAAACGATTATATTAAATTGTTTACTACTTATTTTGCAATAAAAAATATATACATACATATATGGTTTATTTAAAATAATGGTACCCTTAATATAATAATATATTATATGTAATTTATTTATTTCCCAAAGAGGGTTGATGTCAGGCAGGCGGCCGGTCGTAAAAATAATTAGCCGGAAATACTTACAACATGTAAGGCAGACCCTGGCTATAGCTGGGAAATTGCCAGGTAGAAGAATATTATATGTAATTTATTAATATGTGTTTTTTCAGGGAGAGGCGGAGAAGAGAGTTACATTCCCACTCTGAGAGTTCAGATGAGGACTCCAGACCTAACAAGTAAGAGAACTGTTGTTGATAACACTTTACTTGTATAATATATAATAGATGATAACAAATTAATAACACTTATATAGGAAAATAATATCAAATAAAATTGTATGATTACCATTGTATGTAATTTACCAGTAGATTAAAGAACCCAATTAAAATCCCTGTTTTTAACTATATTTCAAATGTTTAAACAAAAAGTATAACTGAAAAAAAAACTATAGTATTATGTAGTTTAGCCTCATTTATTATTATACGATATAATATATTGATAATTTAAAGATCTCTCTATTACATATTTTACACCTCATATCAGAAAAAACAAACATCTTATGAAACCCTATTTTTTCCAAAATGAAATTTTGCCTATATTACTCATGGAAAATGTAGCTACGAAAGGTGAAAGAATTTATAAAATCGGTCCATTAGTTTTTGAGCCATTTATTACAAACAAACAAATACAAAACCGAGTTTTCCTCTTTATAATATTAGTGTAGATTATACATTTATATTATATCCTATGTTTTCAGTTACGAGCGTGAGTACAGACGGGCCAGTAAACGACTGAGACTTCACAACCAGAGGAACGCTCCACTCACACCAAGGACTGTCTTCCATAAGTACGGGGAATATTCATATTAACTAACGTTAATTCATTCTTGGAACGTACATCGAAGGCAGCCCTAGTAGGTTCTTTTCAAATTTGGTTAGGAGAGAGGAGCTTGGACGGTGGAGGTGAGCGTTTACGCGTTAGATAGGGACCCTTAAACCTACACCTGGGTCATAACCTGGGTCCCTACAACGATGGACCCGACACCCGCACGGCGAATACATTGAATGCTAAGAGGTTTCGTCTCTATCAAAAGTAATGTCGCGAAGTATATCCCAAAAATATTATTCTCATTTAAATGAATAAAACTCGCGAAAATCTTAGGTCTCTTTATATGAATGTTTGTTTGTCACACTTCATGCAACAAACATTGAATTGATTTAAATAGTACAATAATGAAGCTGATACTTTAATATATTGTTATATGTACATATAGATATTAGTTTGTACTGTAGTTTTATATAATGTATATAGTCACGTTACACTGACGATAGATGGCGCTGAATAATTGTATTTATTTCATTATAAGTATTTTATTGGAGCACATTATGTTTAATTATCTTTGAAGATGCATTGACAACGTTCACGCGGATAAATTCGCTGGCAAAAAATATTATAAAATATTTTTTATTGAGCTTATATTTGGGCTTTTAAAAAACTCTTAATTATTATAGACGATATATTTTGTTATAACTTAAACAATTGAAATGTTAGCGGTATCCCTACTAATATTATAATTGCGAAAGTAACTCTGTCTGTCTGTCTGTTACTCTTTCACGCCTAAACCACTGAACTGGTTTTAATGAAATTTGATACAGAGATAGAGTTGACCCTGAGAAAGAACATAGGATAGTTTTTATCCCAGACTTTTAAAGATTCTCTTGGAAACGCGATATAACCGAACTCCACGCGGGCGAAGCTGCGGGCGGAAAGCTAGTATTATATAGTGACTGATAATGTTTGTGTGTTCCAGAGCGTTGGATGCTGTGGACATCTCGTGGGAGAACGAACATCTGAAGAACATTCTCAGCTCCGACGAGTTCTGTGACCCCGACAAACCTGACAAGACGCCCACCACGCTACAACCGTACCCTAAGTTCAATGAACTCGGACAACCATTGTGGCATGGTGGGTGATGACACTAATCAAATATAATGAAAGATTCACCTGTTTAATAAACACAAGTTTTATTATTTGATAACTATAATAAGTTTGAGTAAACTTTATAACTATTTAAGTTAAATATGGCTCACAAAAGGTATATCCCATATCTGTTACATTACCTTTAGTATGTATTCCTATAATCGTTTAATTCTCTATCTGTAACCTGTAGAATAGTGAAACACTCTGCCTCAAAAGAAAGTGTGTGACATATTTGTTACAATATCCTTAGTAAGTATTCTAATAATTAATTATTTGTCTCCTTAACCCGTAGAACACTTGCCAGTAGTGGGTGCCCGTATCGAGGCGTTGAGAGCCCACGGCCGAGCACCCGCCGCCCTCAGGCTAGCCGTGGCCGCTGCACGCGCTATGAGGCATCGACAGGTACGTACTGTGGATATATATTAGAGGATAGGAAAAGTACTTCTATGTCATGTACTATACAATATGTATTGTCGTGAGTTATGTCAGTAGACAACATTTGTTTGAGCTAAATTCTTTTGTTACATTTGTAAACACTTCTATACTTACTGTTCATTCACCTTGGTTAAAACTCAAACTCAAATAACTTTATTCAATATAGAAGCATTACACTTTTTTATTGATGGGCACTTGAGACACTACCACCGGTTTGGAAAAGAAAATACCCTGACCTGAGAAGAACCGGCGAAAGAAACTCAGCGGGTTATGTAATTAATGGTCTTATTGTGTTTTGTATCCCGAGCACTGTCTGATGTGTATGTGTGTTCCAGGAGGTGTCCCAGCAGCGGTGGCAGGAGTCGTCGTGCGGTGAAGGCAGCGAGGGTAGTGAGGCGGCGTGTGGGGGTGATTCGTGCGGCGGTCAGTGTGACCGAGCCAAGCTGACCCTGGTCACGTCACACATGGACCCCGGACTGTGTGTGACCTCGAGAGACACGTGCGCGCTCTCTCACACACACAGGTGTATAGGACGAGGTATGGAACTCATTATTATTAACTATCACTTATCACAGTTTCTTGGGATACTAATGAAACTATTGCTAACAAAACATATCTCTTGTCTAATAATGTCACATTGATGATTATGAGTTATAGTGCGTTTGATTTAAGCTGAGCTTTGCATTTGTGTGAGTGCACATGGATAGTGTAGGTGAGATGTCAAATTTTTGAATGAAACATTATTTTCTAGTTTTAAACCGGTTTGTACTGCTTTTACTTCGCCCCGTACCTTCCTCACTTCACCTTTTGTACTGGTAGCAATATTAAATGTTGAAAACTCTATGTCAAGTGAATAAGAATTTGTAGTTTTTTCAAAATTCTTATTAATCAATTTTTTTTCCACAATATTCAAAATATTTCCATTTGGACCTTTACATGTTTTCTTATTTTATAGCACTTATGTTATCTTCTTCTACCTGGCAATTTCCCAGCTATAGCCAGGGTCTGCCTTACATGTTGTGAATAGTTTTTGGCTATTTGTTTTTACGACCGGCCGCCTGCCTGACATCAACCCTTTTTTGGGAAATCAACATTAATCAGTGATGTCTAAATACTCTTAGAAAGTACATATGATTCGGAAAAATCACATTGGTACTCGCCCTGGCCGGGATCGAACCCGCGCCCTCGGCGGCGAGAGGCCGCGAGGCGGACCCTTTAACCACTGAGCCACCACTGACTAGCACTTATGTTATGTATCTATTTAAAATATAATTCTAAAAGTTTTTTGTCTAACTCTACTTTTACTTTCACTCACACAATTGCAAAGCTCAGTTTAAGTCTAACGGACTATAATAATTAAAGTTTAGAAGTATTCATGATTATAACATGTATAAAAATTAAAGTAAAAAATATATATGTTGTTGTATCAGACAGTAGATGTTGGACGGGCTGGTCGTTAGAGGCGATCTGGTGCGTGTACGAGTGCCTGGCGGACGCGTGCCTCGCGCCCGACGACCAGCGAGCCTCGCCGCGCCTGCACACGTACATGGACGAGGAGCCGTCCACCGGCCTGCCGCCGCGCTACCAGCACGTGCCCGTGGCCGGCACCAAGAACCCTGAAGAAACATACCTGGCGTTAGCGCTGGAGGCAGCTCTGCTGGGGCTCGGCATGCAGAGGATGCTGCCCAGCGGCCTGTACGCGCAGGAGCGGTACTGCAAACAGGTAACAGCCTTTTTTTTTGATGACGCAGACAAACTCTTTTTACGAGCCGTCCAACCGACCTTGGTGGGGCCAGAAGGGATGTGTGAGGCTCGGCCTGGGCAGGCAAACAGGTAACACCCACACGAACAAGAAACAAACAATATATTAAAGGTTTTGAAGTAACACTTCTGTATACACACTTGGTGGTAAGATTGTGATAGCGTTACGAAAAATGTGATCGGCGAAGCGAATGAGAGTAATAGGATATAAGTTAGTGAAGATAGTGCATCTATGCATCCATAAACATATAGATTGAGCGAAAGAAGTTTACTTCAGCCGCATAGTCTACAGCACACTGATTTCAACATTTTTTGGTGTATATCTAATATGTTGTTCTACATATGTACTTTCTAAGAGTATTTAGACTCTATTTACTTTCTAAGACTATTTAGACATCACTGATTAATACTGATCCCCAAAACAGGGTTGATGTCAGGCAGGCTGCCGTTCGTAAAAACAAATAGCCAAAACTATTAATAACATTTAAGCCAGACTGGCTATAGCTGGGAAATTGAAATAGAAGAAGATCTAATATGTTATTGTTCATCAGGAGGAGCGTCTGATCAGCCAGTTACAACGTGTGGAGGGCGAGGCGGCGGCGGGTGTGTGTGTGCGTGTGTCGCGCGCGCTGCTCGCGGGCGGCCCGGCCTCCTGTCTGGGCACCAAGCTACACCCTCGCTCCGCGCCCGCTCATACCTTCGCCAGGTTCTTATTCCTGGCGCTGCTACCCACAGACCCTGAACTGGCGTACCGCGTCGGACTGAGAGCTATGAGGTTCATAACATATATATACAGGGTGACTGGTGAATTACTATCGATACTTGAGGACGTGATATTTGACGATCATATATGACAAAATAATAATTAATATAACATAAATATTAATAAAGTTCTGAGTAAAGTTAATCAAAAGTTATGTAATTAATTACGCATCGTGTGCACACCCTACAGATTAGGTATAGACTCACACACACATACGTGTGTGGCGGCGTAGTGTTGTATCAGCACGCCGCCGCACGCGTCCACACTTGGAACACTTGGAACGTGTCAACACTTTATTTATTTATACGGAAATTTTGTCAAAAATTAAGTGCCTAATTTTTTTACATAATTCGAATGAGAATCATGTACTGAGTATTCTCCTAAAATATTGATTCAAAATATTGATTGAGTAATTCACCAGTCACCCTGTATATAATTTTACTTACTATATAGATGTAAATAAAGCTCTTTTATTCTTCATTTAATTAATAATTACACTTACCTACTATAATTTATTATGTATGGTAGCACCACTTTTTACTCTGCAGTCATTATATATTTTAATCTGTAGAAAAAGGCTCTCTGGTTTTGTACGTTTAAGTTTAGCAAGATTTTTGAAAAGGAATAACGATTGTTTAAAATAGAAATTGAGGCAATAGCTTTTAATGTTGTTTCTCTTTACAGAGCAACAATTACAGTTTTTTATTTCAATTAACAACATATTACATAGATATTGCAAAATTTTTGTTTTATACTCAGTATCAATATTTATTACGTTTTATTAGTTACAAATAATATGGTTACTTATATTTTAACACTCTTAAAAATACTTTCCTGTTAGAACCTTTTGACTTTCTATTGACATAATCTTATAACATATGTGTTTGTGTTAGACTGCCAATGGTAGAGGAAGCGTACTCGTTGGACGCGGGCGGGGCGGCGGCGGGTGGCGCGGGGGGCGCCTGGCACACGCTGCAGCACGCCGAGCAGCAGCAAGCAGCACTGGCCAGCGCGCTACTGGGTGACTATCATACACTTACACTTATTCTATCAACTATCTTAAAAACCCAACAATATACTCATGTTGTCCTCCCTATATCTCCAGGTGCTGCTCGCGGTAGTCCGTCCCGTCTCCGCGCAGCACTAGCAGCAGCTCAGCGTCACGTCCGGTCGGCGGCGCAGCTGTTCCGATTAGCGCAGGACGCGCTGAGACACGCCGCGCCTCCCGACGCTCCTCATCATCACAGGGACCTGCTGGCGGCCGCCTTCGAGCTCGGACTACAGGTAATGATGATATATGGTTAAATATACTTTATTGTCCACAGATGACAAAACTGTTGGACATATATCAATAATTATCTATATGAAGATATACAGGCAAGAAAAAATTTGATTCATTTGATCTTATTTTAAATAAACTCTACAATTTTATTGACTTACAAGAACCCCTATTTAGATGTCAATCCTATTCCTTATTGAAACCGTCTACCTTGTTTTCTGGTAATAACTGTAACATATTCTAATGTGGTTAATAACTGGGTTTGAAAAGAAACGTCTTTGTAGCTTTAAGTCGTATTTAATAATATTAGAAGATTTTAACATAGCATAATGAAAGCTTGGGCCAATGGGTGGTCCATCATATTTTATGTATACATGAGGTGTTTTATGAAGGAGACTTTACACTAGACTTAATTCTATAATATAGCATACACACTATATTTATATCAATATCGTGTGTGTCAGGTTCTTCGCATGACTCTGTCCGCGGTGAACTGGCGGCGGCGGGAGATGGTCCGCTGGCTGGTGACGTGCGCCACCGAGCTGGGCCTGGACGCGCTGCTGTCCATCATGCAGAACTGGTAACACATATCACTATCACAATTACTTCTACCACGGAACATTATCTATATATAGTATGTGTTGTATGTGTCAGGTACGAACTGTTCACACCCACGGAGGCGACCGGCCCCGTGGCGGCGGCGGCCATGTCACACGCGACGGCGCTGCGGCTAGGACTGAGCTTCGAACAACAGGAGAAACTCAGCGCCTGCGCCAGGACACTCGCGCTGCAGTGTGCGGCCAAGGTACTGGATACAATATACACTCACCTCACTAGTCACACTCTCGAGAGAGAAATAGGCGTCCTCTATTCAATCCACACTTTATTTATTTATACAGAAATTTGGTCAAAAATTAAGTACCTATTTTTTTTACATAATTCGAATGAGAATCATGTACCGAGTATTCTCCTTAAATATTGATAGTAATTCACCAGTCACCCTGTATAATATTTATTTATTACACGACATATTTGATATATAAAATTATATTTATTTACGTATATTATACACTGTACATTCACACTACACATTTATATATTCAATATTATATGTATAAAAATTTAATAACTAGATCCGAATATGGTACTTTAACATTCCATCTTGCGCTTCGATACCAAATACATGTTTTACTCTTGTTATTATATTTCGTATGTATTAATAGTTTAATTGTTAGTTTTTCTCCTTCCGAACTGTATGAAATTTAACCTTTCTGTGTCAGTCTTGTAACTTTCTTCTGTGTGCATTATTACAATACAATTACATTTTAAATAGTATCGTAGACTTTTATTAAACCGACGCAACGGACATTAACATCTCCATAATCGTAACGTGTATGTAACAGGACCCGCCGGGCTGCGCCCTGAGCGCCCTGTCGGTGTGCGAGGGCTCGGCGGGCGCGTTCGAGGCGGCGTGCGCGGCGGTGGGCGGGGCGGCGGCGCGTGGTGCACTCGCCTCCAGCCAGCTGTTCGCTGTGGCGCGCTACATGGAGCAGCGCGGCCAGCCGGCGCGTGCCATGAGGCTGGCAACACTCGCCATGAGGAACCTGCACCTACACTACAACCAGGACACTCACCCCGCCATCGCCGACGTGCACTGGGCCGTCGCCCTCGCACACTCGCTGGGCCGCGCCGAGCTGCAGGCCATGCTGCCGCTGCTCGTCAAGAACGTGCAGTGCGCGCCCGTGCTGTCCGACGTGCTGCGGCGCTGCTGCGTGGCGGCGGCGGGCTGCTCGCGCGCGCGGCCCCCGCCCCCCCGCCCGCCCACACCGCTCAGACCTCTACTGGAGGCCGCTCTCAGGGCGTACGCGTCTACCACACACGCGCGGCTCGCACACATCTCTCCGAGACATTACGCGGACTTTGTAGACTTCCTCGGTGAGTGGAGAACACTAGCTGTACACCGCTCACACTCTCAATAGTGAACTCCAAGATTTGTAATCTACTTGTACATATGACATACGTTTCAAGATTTCAAAATTGTAGATTGATACTTAGACCATTATGGATTTTCTTTAATATTATTATTTTTTGTGAGGTAGTTAGTAACATAATGAACGATTAACGTCTGTCATTATTTATCAAGTACATTAAACCGCATGTGTGTATGTGTGCAGGCAAGGCGCGCGACACGTTCTCCCTAGCGCACGACGGGCCGCACCAGTTCGCGGCGCTGCTCCAAGAGATCAAACTCAAATACAAAGGAAAGAAGAAACTCATGTTCCTGGTCAAGGAGAGGTTCGGATGAGCGCCGGCATTTATGTTTATAAACGTTTTAATATGTGCAATAGCGACACGCTCGATGTATATTTTTATACAGATATAATTTCTAACGAGAGACGTTTGTACGTTTACATTGGGAGACGTATCGCTGAAACATTACCTCATCGTGAATCGCGGACGCATCGCTCGCACCAAACCAGTCTATTCTAAAGTATTATTTTTATGTAATCTAGAATATAAATACCTCTTAAACGTCGTCATGTAAGTAGTTAACGTTGTAATGATCTCAATGATTCCATTTTGTAAATATTTAGTCTGTACATATAGCTGTAAGTTTAGTTATAGTTCGTTGAAAATGTTAGATATATAAATAATGATACAAATGTATGGAGCGTCGCCACTTGTACATGAACCTAACACAGGAACCACTACGGCTTGTATAATGTATTTTATCTGATTTGTCCAGCGTCCACACTCAATAGCAAGGAACGATAAATGACACAACACCAAAGATATATATTGTAAGTAGGTCAGTCTAACAAACAGCGCCATCTATGTTTCAGTATTGTCGAGTATTCTTATATATATTTTTAAGCCACACCGTCGCCACTCGTTTGTCCATTTGTTTTCATTGCATTTTGTTTTATTATATTTATATATATATTACTTTGATCCGACCTCTATATTAGTTTAGATGTAAATTTATAAAAAGAAGTGCATTTATAAAGGTAGAAATGTTTAATATTAAATGATAGTGTTCAGAGAATTAGGATCAATTGATTATGAATAGTGGTAAGCTATGAGGGACTTTTGTACTTTTTGTGGTGTGTTAGGGTTGTGCAAAATATTTTTTGGTTACATTGCCATAAATGAATAATTTGCAATTATCATGAGAGCCGACCCTCGGGGGAAACAAAGCAGCGGTTAAACCAATAGTAGCAAACACATACAGACAGACAATTGGATTTCATTACAGGTACTGACAGACATTATACATATTGCTTTTACTAACATATGAAACAGACTGATTTTTTATCCATTTTTAGTTTGTTTTCTAACAAATGTTATACAGCAAAATTTATTATAACTGTTGTTACATACTTTTAGAGTTAGACCATGTTGGAGACCATCTGAATACCTTCATTGAGTACACCGCACTAGATCAAACGGGTTAACATCTATAAGTATGAAGTAACATATAACATACTATTTATAAAATCCTTAATTCAATGAGCAATAAATTTTTTCCTTAATGAGCCGGTCTGTTTTAGTCTATATTTAAAAAAAAACACAGATAAAACACAAAAACAATGTAAAATTATTACTAAATTGAACTATATAACACACTATATGTTATATTTGTAAAAGCAATAAGTTTTATGTAATAATTTCATGATACATTAAAAAACAATAATTAAAATGTCTCGCATATAAATAATAAGAACATATATCAAAGTATAGCATTGGTTTTGTGTTTTATGTTTCTAGTTTGTAACTTATAATAACGCAATAAAAAATGCTGTTGACTTGCCAAATTTCAACTTTAAGCAAATAAATCCTTGACCGCAAGTGCCTTCTGGCGAGTCCAAATTATTTACAGGCCGGCTTTTAGTTCTGACTGTATTGTATTTTATTTTGTCATATTTATAACTGCACTAATAACATTTATGATTTCAACTTGTGTTTTACGTATAACGTAGACACCCCTTAGTGCTGAGTAAGATGGTGATAATTTCAATAAAATAATTAAACACAGTTTTGTTTCTTTTTTTTTAAACAACTTCTTAAACAAAAACACTATTGAAGACGTTGTACCTATATATTTTCGAAATATTGCATATTTTACATTCAAAATAATCAAATGTATAGTTAAGTAAATCGATACCTCCCACGTCAGTTGTTGTATAAGACAAAAATGCTATTTTGATTTTTTTTCTAAAAAATATCATTATGGATCATGACATCCATTGAAATTAAAAAAACAACAAAACACTATTTTTAAAGGATTTGTCAGACGCATAATGTTGTAATTTTCAAACGCGAACGGATTAAACTGATGACATGAGTGATGTATATGCCTTTGCAACTGTATTTGCATCAATAAATGCAGATTTTGGTTTAATTTGAATCTTTGAAACGCTCTACTGTAAAATTACAGTTTTGGAGACACAACTTACGTGGGAGGTATCGAAATAGAAAATTATAGTTTAATATCTGCAAAACTAAATTCGTGTGATCATTTATTTTCGTATAATTTTGAATTCTATTCGATCTTGATCATATAATATTGTTTATGAAGTGCGGCAAGGATATTTTTTGTTTCGCGCCAATATTTTTCCAACGAACGTGACATCTCTGCCGTTCAAGTTATTATTACAGTTATGTTTCTTGTCGATTTTTGTCGTCTTTTCGTTCTGTATATTATTATCGTCATCTGTAGCATGTAATTTTACTTCTGGAGCTGCTGATTCATCGTTTAGATCATCGTAACCCAGAATTATCGGAGGTAATATAATTAGGCCAGCTTGACGTTCATCGGTACTGAATACCTGACATAAGGCACAGATTATAAACTAATGATACAAAAAAAGTTTTAAAAAATCAACTTACCCATGAAACATATAAAGTCAAGCCGAGAACCAGTTTAAATAACATTTCGATAATAAAAACGTTATCAAACATAATCGTTTGCCGAATGCGATTTCTATTCTAAGTATGTGCATGTACTTAGTATATGAAATAAAAATAATTTTACGTTTTGCAAAGCGTTTTTTCAGTTATATAAAAGTAATGCCACTAGTTTTTGAAGGCATGAATGATAGTCTTAACTGTTATACATAATTTATTTCTTTAAACTAAATTTATTTCCTTAAACTTCGTCTGAAGCCAGTTCCTCTTTGGCTGTGTATGTCTCATCTGGTTCCGTCACTTGTATAGTAATTCCTGCTTCAGTAAGTAGTGCCATTAACGTGGCCAGTGAACTCGCCAACTGATAAACATTAAAACTTTAAATTATTATTGCTTTTATTTTATTTTTTATCAACAACAATTATCTGTGCCTTCTGATATATTGTTGTCACAAAGTAATTTGTTATTAAAAAGTAGCTTTATTTTTTTTATTTATAGCCACGATTGATTTTTATAGTTTATGTAAATGTAATATTTCGTTGCATCTAAAACTCTAGAATATTTATTTTGACTGCGCCGTGTTTATAGCCCAGTGCCTTTAAAATTAATGAAAATTGAAAATAAATTATAGTAGAATGAAACTCATTAGACAAGGATGGGAATATTATAAAAATTAAAGGGAAAATAATTTACGGGCGATCTGAGGTCGGGAAGGGTGTGGGGGTGGGTATTTTAGGGTAAAAATGGGTTTTCTCGATTTCCAACAAAACTAAAAGTCCTACGGAAAAAAAATATATGGGAAAGTTGTAGGTAATAAAAAGATCTAAAACTTTTGTACTATTATTTTTTCACATAACCTCAAAATTTATGTGAAAAATTCGAAAAACTAAGTTTTTGGTTTTCTATTACAAAAAACAAAATGCTCTATCAATTTATTTTTTATAGTTTTAGCAGATTAATGTAATTTTTCTGTAAATTACCTAAAAGAGGAACTAACTGGAGAACTTCCAGAGTACACAAGTATTAAAAATAAATTAGAAAGAGCATTTTCCAAACGATATCGAGTGTCATTTCATTAAAAGGGACATGATTATTTTATCCAAAAATGTTACTTTAAGTAAGAAACTAAAGTAAGAAAATGTTACTTTTTTCTTCACCATCGGAAATTAGAGATTTTAACGAACAGAAAATACACAAAATTTTTGAAAATAGCTGATATTTTGACGGGTGATTTTTCGATTGAAAATGAGGCTGAATTTTCGGTATTTATTCAAAATAAGCTGAAAAAATAAATAATTCTAATCCAATAAATTACAGTTGATTTGAGACATCAGTAGGTAAGTTTTTACCAAATTTCGTGACAAAATATTGTTTTTTATAATAGAGAAAAATAAAAAACCAAAAATTTGGCTTTTCGAATTTTTCACATAAATTTTGAGGTTATGTGAAAAAATGTTAGAACAAAAGTTTTAGATCTTTTTAATACCTACAACTTTGCCATATAACTTTTTTCCGTAGGACTTTTAGTTTTGTTGGAAATCGAGAAAAATCATTTTTTACCCTTAAATACCCACCCCCATACCCTTCCTGACCTCAGATCGCCCGTAAATTATTTTTCCTTTAATTTTTATAATATTCCCCTCCTTTTCTAATGAGTTTCATTCTTCTATAATTAAATTACGTTTTAAAAGCTATCGGCACTGGTCTATAAAATTATAAAATCAAGCAAAATAAATAATGAATATGTTTTTCGTCATCCTTGTACTTTCAACCTTCGAATTTAATGAAATAAAAATAATGAACTTCCCAGAAATGTTATAATGTCTAGAAAGAATTACAATTTACATGGGAAGTCTTTGTGTCAGTATGATGTAATTGAAATTGTCACGGTCCATAAAAACAGTAATTCAAATTAAATTCTACATTTAAATGACCAGTCTATGATACATTTTAGACAATCGGCAGTAAGTATATGACAAATGTTTAATAGCTAATGACTATTAAATCGCGTGTTTATAGAAAGTAGCGCTATTTTTGTCAATTTCTAAGCCTTACATGAGCGTCCGGTTGTTCTTCTAATATCCTTGCCACAATACCAGCTTCCCTCGCGGCGTGTTCCAGGCGTCCGAGCCGCGCGTGTCGCCCGCCGCAGTTGATCCTCACGAGCGCGTCTCGCCCGCCCAGTTCACACGCGCGATCAAACGCCGCGTCCGCGCGACTGTCCCCCACACGCTCCAGCGACAACGCTATCAGTAGAACCTACCCGAATAAAACTCGATTTACGCACGCGGTTTATATAGCATAGATCCAGATTTGAGCTTAAAAAGAGAGGACTGTTCTAAAAATTTTATTTTGTCATCAGCGCCATTTATCGGGTCTTTAAGGTGATTTCAAATTGCACCCGCTGTATTTTCTATTAGCCATAATACTATCCTCAAAAGTGATCTATTTCATTGACAACGTTTTGCTGGAAAGTGTAATATGTATCGTACAAGCCGTCCTACATCAAGTTTCTTATATTATGAGTCTATCTCACTGTGTAAGCGTCGTGAGGGTTGAGGGCGGCGGCTGCGGCGAGGCGGCAGAAGGCTGATGCTGGGCGGCGGCTCGCGAGCAGCACCAGGCCCGCGTTGTGAGCGGCCGCCGCGCTCAGGGGAGCCGCCCACGACGAGCGGAGACAACACCACAGAGCCTTACATACAACCATGAGGATTAAGGAACATAAATATACTAGAAGGATCACAGGGCACATTGATACTGAAGATATAGATTTAAGAAGACATCCACTCATGATTCGGGTCTACGGAACATTGCGTTCAAGTTGATTTAAACTACTATGCCTTGGGTCTAATCGATGAATCTAATCTATACAAATATAACCATCAAGAGGTCATGGAGGTCCGATCATTTAAGTTTTCTTACACAAAACCTAAGCAAAAATTTTCTAACTGTGTAGTTTAGAAGAAATAATGAAATAGTGGGATATCAAAGGTTAATTATTTATTTATCCACCGCTATGAACTTCTTCTTGGAGAACAGAGCAAGGCCGAGGTTTGAGTGCGCGGCGACACAGGCGGGGTGCGCGGTGAGGGCGGCTTTGAGCCTGGCGAGGGCAGCGTCCTCGTCACGATGCTGCAGCAGCATGGCAGCTAGGGCCATCGCCGCGGCGTGCTGCGTCGGCTGCTGAGACAGCGCCTCGCCTAATAACTGGAACGCCCGCCGAGGAAGTCCCGCCCGCAGACACAACGCTCCCGCCGCTGACAACGTGTCCGCTCCGCATGAGTACTCACTGGGATTTAAACGATGTTTCAATAAAAATAACTCAACTAATATGTGACGACTTAAACATATATAAGGTACCTACCTATACCGCTTCGTATCTGGACATTGTCAAATTAAAAAAAAAAAACAATAAAAACTCGTAAAAAAAAACTCTTTAAACATATACTCAAATTACCATCAAAATATTTAATGTTCATAATATTTCGGAATCCCATTAAAAAAAAATCCCATAAAAATATTCCCAAAAACCCTTTGATACATGTCCATGAATTACTATCAAATTTTAAGTGGTCATAGTTCGTCTGAATCCTCAGTTTTGTATCAAGGTGCTATAGAACATAATTAGGCAGAGCCTGGCTAAAGCTGGGAGATTGCCAGGAAGAAGAAGACTATAGAACATTATTCTCCTCACGTGACAGCATGTTCATACACTGCCAGCGCGTCCTTCATGTCTCCTCGAGCCAACAGTCTCGCAGCCAACAGAGAGGCGGCTCGCTCCCCTCCGCCTGCGGTGAGGGCCGAGCGGGCCCACGACACGTCGCGAGGGTCGCTGATACACGCCGCACATGACGCTGATACATACACAAGACCTGATCAGACCTTACGAGCCGTGGTGTGCTCACTATACATGCAAATAAGCACTACTTACTAGTTCTTACCCTACCCATACAAAGACTATACCTATATCTGCTTACGAGACAATATAGGTCCATAAAACACGTCGTAGGACTAGATTGGGTCCCCATAAGATCATATAGACTATCATTACTATAGAAGATAGATTTAATGAATGGGAAAGAATTTGGAGTAAAAAAAGCATTTTTGACTAAGGCTCTGATATGTGCTTTGGACACTGCAATCCGTATATTAAAGTTACAATTTTGTTTTAACGTTTTCTAAGTCTAAGACTTCGTCTTCAAATATATTTAGTTTAACATTTTAAAAAAGTAGATTTTGACAAAATCTTCTTTAATTTGTAACCCCTAACAAAAATATTAAGAATCATATTATTAATGATACATTAACAATTATTACTCACTACACGTAAACACGTATAAGACATTATTTTTACTATTATGTTCATACTTCATGGATTAAATGGTTTATTTTTTAATTTTTAATACAAGCCTTTACTTATTTCAAATCTAAGAATATTAACTACACAGAAAATCAATTCAGATGTGAAATGATAATTTCTTATTAATAAAAAACGAAAATGTGAAATTATTGTTGCGTTTTTAACAGTCAAGGAGTATTTCCAGTACATAAAGAACCATGTCCTTTATAACTTTACCCAATCCGCAGTAAATATCCGGATCCGGATGTTTCGATATTTTTTCAGCCTCCAAGTAAGCTTCGAGCGCCAACTGTGTTCTACCTTGTTTATACCTACAACACAATTTCTGTATAAGTTCTTAATTTAATAGCATTTTTTTTCTTCCTTTTAATTATACTTACAAACATTTCGCGACCTGTTTTAAAGGATCTGGGTCTTGGGGCTGCAGTCTAATACAGCTGTGATACTTTTCAACCGCCTCCTGGTACCTTCCAGCGTCTGCTAACATCGCACCCTAGAAAATATTAATTATAAAATATGAATTTAATTTTTATTAATAAAAGACTGTATGACTTTGAACTATTGCTTAATAAAAAAAAAGTAGTGGGTGTCATTGCGTGTTGAATTTATAGTTTTATGAACAACCAGCTACATAGCTTTACAAGCGGTAAAGTAATAAAAATAAAGATATTGTTCATATGTAGAATAAAATAAAAGAAGGTTTTCGTTTTTTTTTTTAGTACATTTCTAAGACAAACGAAAACCTCAAATCAGAAGTTATCTATCGTATATTAAAATAAATAGCACAGAATAAATTAATGCGTGATTACTGTGTGTAATGAACCTTAATATAATGTGCATATCTGTGTTTGTTATCTGCATCCCGCTGCAGACGGTCTGCCAGCTCCAGGCACAGAGTATTCTCACCGCGAACATACCGCGCGTATAAGAGCCAATTGAAAGAATCATTCTTGAAATCTGGAAAATAATACCGTGACAATACTAAATTTATACATAATATTAAAGTAAATAAAGAGGTGTTCTTAACATATAATATTTCTGGTATAGATTACAACATCAGAATAAACAATATATATTTTTCTTTTTTTTTCTTTTTATTTATAAATCTTTATTCTAATACCGTTTGTACATAATTTCTCAACAGATGACTGTTTTCGCATTTTAAAAAATATGTTTCTTCAATTGTTTTTATTTTCTTGTCACCATGGAAACAAAGAACTAATGTTTCCACATTCTAAATTTAAATACCATAGGACAAGTTCCTCACAATATTACTAATTATAGTTCGGTTTCGGTTCTACTGTATGGTTATTGTCAATAAACTATAGAATATGAAAAACAATAATTAAGTACCTATATTCTTTATATATAAAACTTTACACATATTTTCACATTAAGCTTGAAAACTAAATCGAAGAATGGAAAAAAAAAGATTCTCAACATTTCTTAAACTAATTGTTGTAAAAGAACGATATGTGTCTAGTAAAAACATTCAATGTCAGAAAAATCTTAATAAATATTTAAAAATGCTTTTCTAAAAAAATAGAATAGGTTTCAATAATTTTACCTATCTTTCATTTAATGAAAATGATTTCGATTAATCTAACATCAATGTTTATATAATTATTACTTTTAAAATGTCAGGAAAAATAGAATTGTTTTTAATTATTTCAAAACGATATCATCCAACCTGTTTCTCGACGTTTGTTTTGATGATACTTCAATATTAAAAATTGACAAGTGGAAATTGCAATCACCAAATGACTTGGTTAATAGAAAGATAACATTAAATACAGTCATATATCCTCCTTCATAAACATTCCATTACAATAGAATTATATTAAGCTAACCATGGAGGATATGGCACGTTTAGCACTGGTCGAACAGAGCGTCAAAGATGAAAATCAGTATAGAAAAATACTCTTCGATCTTTTGGACCAGATCAGCAATATTTTAGATAATCCCCACGATTACGAGTTGAGAACTATTAAAAGTGACATCCTAGAAAAAGTATTAGACTGTGAGGCCTTCACCGACTACCTGAAATACATTGGATTTCAAATGGTATTCTTGAAATGATAGAAGTTACGACTTTCTCTTATTGAATACATAAAACTTGTTAGACTATAGATGTAATAAGTTGTATGGTAGATTCATTAACTTAATTTACAGGGGCAAAAAGAAATTATGTTTCCCAGAGAACAAACTCTAAGTAAACTGAGAATAGCACAAGCAGCTCTGGAAAGAAAAATAGGTTTTTGTTGTGGAAATGTTAACAAGACTGTTACTGTGACAGATAACAAGAAGAACAGTAAACCAAAACTCAAAGAAGCCAATATATTGGTGAGGAAACTGTAATTTATAAAAACAAAAGGCTTTAATATATTTTATATTCTTTAAATAAAATTGATATAATTTTAATTTTATTGCAAATATGAAATAGTAAAATACAGAAGTTGTAAATACATACAAAAAAACTAAATGTATGTGTAACATTCTGTAGATAATATTTTTTAAATAAATTTATCACCAAAATAACATAAAGGTGTAAAGTATGTCCTAATCAATATATATCATTTATTATATTAAATATGAAAACAAATAATATGCAACTATAATAATCTTTATTTGCCTATATATTTCAGACGACCAATAATTCCTTTTTATTAAGAATCCAGTCACTATTCAATGATATGATAAAGTATGAGGATGAAGATTTACTACAGAGAGCACGGGAACACATCCCGCTAGTGACCCTACAGCTCATGGCACTCGACAGAATGAGGGAGCATCAGAAGAAAATTAAAATGGGTATTATAAACTTCACTGGAATAGGATACAGATAATATTCATGTGTGTGTGTGCGTGTGCATGTGTGCACTTAGATGTGTGTGTATGTGTGTGCATGTGTGTGTGTATGTGTGTGTGTGTGTGGTTCTCTTTATTAAAGTCATACATCTTGATAAACATAAAAGAGTAAGTATCTAAAGAAGACCGTTGAACATTTATTAGATCAGTTTTGTATGACATGTGTTTTAAAATTATTGCTGTTCAATTTTCTTAATTCTCTGTACTTTCATCTGTGGTGTGGCCCACTGGAAAGTGATTTATTTATTGTGTCAGTCAAGTAAGACTTTAATACTTGATTATGAGGCTCTTACAAGCTTATTTATTTTAAGTATGTTTATTAAAATAAAATATGAATATATGTTTGACTGTTCTTTAGTAAAAATTTGTATCTTTAATCATTCATTGTGATATTTTACTGCATCTCTTACATGTAGATATAAATATATAGAGACATATTTATGTACACAGAATATAGTTAATCCTAGTAACTTAGCCATGACCATACAATTATTTTATACAGGTGAGATCAAAGAACAAGACATGTCATTCGACATGGCCTTATTAATGGAACTGATAGTGTGGTTCAAACACAAGTTCTTCAAGTGGGTCGATCAGCCGGCCTGCGACAAGTGTGGAGGGAAGACCATCTTAGTTGATGTTACCTCCATCAAGACTGACTCAGAAACATGCAGAGCTGAGGTATAAGTTTAGTCTTACAATATATCGTCGGGATAGTACAAATCCGCATTACTACCATTGGATAATTCTGTGTTTTTGGAAGCAGATTATCAGAAGAAAGTTTGAGCTGAAATATTTTATAAATAAACGACTTTTAAGGTAATTTTTCAGAATTAGTAGTAATAATTAATTATTGTGTAAAAATTTACATAAAAGTCGTTTATATAGAACTTTCCTCTGTTAATCTGCTTCCAATGTAGATACGCGGAATTATCCATGGTAGTTACGCGAATTTGTACTATAATATGCTTTTATATTAATTATTGGCAACTATGTGTATAAAATCGTTATTCTTCACCAGCTATATGAATGCTCGCGCGGCCACGACGTAGTGTTCCCGAGGTTCAACGACCCCGGCACCTTGCTGCGCACGAGGCGCGGCCGCTGCGGCGAGTGGGCCAACTGCTTCACGCTTATGTGTCGCGCGCTCGGTTACGACACGAGATACGTGTACGACACGACCGACCACGTGTGGTGCGAGGTGACGTCACCAAACACGACTGACGACTGATGACGTCATCACACGTGAACATACATCGGATTATAATCGATTATGCTGCGACCACACCAACGGGAAATGCCGATAATTATCGCGATAATGGACGTTCACCGTTGTTGTAGCCACCCATTTTTGCAACGGCATTAACAATGCCATTTGCCGTTGGGCGATAACTCAGGTGGCGGTACATCTAAGATACTAGCTTTTGCCGCGGCTTCGTCCACGTGGAATAGTTACTTCCGACAGATTTTTGGTTCTTCCCACATAGTTTCCGTTCTTGCGGGGTTTTCGGAATGGTCGAGTTCCCGTAGAATTTTCAGGATGAAACCTATTTTTTTTTTATTAATAATGAAGTACTCTAAACCAACAACATATTTATTTGTTTATATGAATAAAGATTAATGTTATTATTTTTTTTTGGATACAATTTAAACAAATTATTTCGACAAAATTAGGTACCATAAAAACGGTTTTTGTGAGTTAATCTTAAAAGATAGACATATACTGTCGCGGACTGTTTTTTAGATCATTAAAAGAGCTATTATTCTTTAATACATATTTTTTGTGTATCTTGAACCGTTTTCACGGGGCACGGAACGGAAGGCTTCAAAGATGAAATAATTTCTCCCGTTTTTTACACATTTACCACTATATCTTTGCTCCTATTGGTCGTAGCGTGATGTTATATAGCCTACAGCCTTCCTCGATAACTGGACTATCCAACACAAAAAGAATTATTCAATTCGAACCAGTAGTTTCGGAGATTAGCGCTTTCAAACAAACAAACAAACAAACTCTTCAGCTTTATAATATTAGTATAGATTATCGCGATAATTGGCATTCACGTTAAACCGTAGTGTGGCAACATTACAGATCATATCTTCTTTGAGTACATGCTAATACATATTTATGAATATATCGTGAAGGTACAAACGTGTCAGATGACGTCATCACATGTCTCCAATCTGTGCTAGCTAGTGACTAGTCTATTAAGTTGATGTTATTCATAAGTTCTGTTTGTAGGTGTTCGACCAGGACTCCCAGCGGTGGCTGCACGTGGACCCCTGCGAGGGGTGTATGAATTCACCCCTCATGTACGAACACGGCTGGGGGAAGTCCTTACAATACATCATAGCATTCTCGCGAGATGACCTCCAGGATATAACGTGGAGATACTCCAGCGACCATAAAGCGGTAACTGGAATTTTGTGATGAGCGAGTCCAACGAGACAATATAATTTTTGTCAATAAAGCTATTGACTATATGTTTGTATGTAATGTATAGTTTTTCTTTAGCTGCTGCAGCGTCGCGACGAAGTATCCGAAGCGGATCTGGTGCTAACTATCCTAGCTCTCCGTGATCATCGTCACGAACAGGCGAGTGAGATACAATTAGCTTTATTGAGTTATATTTCGAGTATAAGTCGCTAGTAATAAGAACTGATCTAACTGACTAAAAAAACTACATACTCCCGACATTTCGGCTACCTTCCAGCAACCGTGATCACAGGCATCACGTCTGTCCGTGATCACGGATAAAGTCGCGTAGTATAGGTATCCGATAAATATAAGTTTCTTTAATATGAATAAAACACAAAAAAATCTTATATCTCATTATATAACAGGTCAGTCCGGCAAGACGGAGATACCTTATCATCAGGACATTAAAAGAACTTGTGGAATTGATGGTCGAGAGGTAATATATTATTTACATTATTCATTACTAATAAAGCTACTACTAGTATTCACGCCTGTATATTGCTCAGGAAACCCGGCGAAAATGAGTCCCAGGGCCGGATATCCGGTTCGAAGGCATGGAGGATGGAGCGAGGGGAAATAGGAGTTAAGAAACACGAATTCATTCTGACAGAACCCGGGGAACATTGTGTACAATACTGTACTAGCACAGATATATATAGAGTGATAATGAATAACGTCCAACGAGACGAGATAAAAACTTGGAGGGGGGGAGTGTTACATAGTGAGAATGTATTCAGAAAGATAGAAACAGACTGGCAGCAGACATACCTGGCTAGAGAGGGTATGTGATAATAACAAAGTATATTATATAACATAGTAAAGAATAATTAACTTAAATATAATGAAACTTAATATATGTACTACATATGACAGGGTAGTTGGTATTTCATTAAAATCCTCACACATAAAAATTATTTGATAAATATTATATTTTTAGTATCACTTGGTTCTTTTGTATGATGCAAAAATAAAAAGATGTAGATTCAAATAGGTTTGATTATATTGTATACAAAGATTTAATCAAAGATACAGCCGTTTTAAATTTAGTTGTTTTTGTATGCCTAATTTTTGTTAGTGTGAATTAAATATTATTTGATTAAAGTGCATAATATTAATAAATATTATTATAATGATTTTCAGAGGGACAAGACACCGGTAGTATATCTTGGAAGCTTATGGTGAAAGGAGACTTGATTATAGAGAGAGTAGTGATGGAGGTGACCACCGCCCAGTATGAAGATGGTAGGATAGAGTGGACCTACCAGCTGGACCAACAGCCGCCTACCACCTGTAGTTTGAACGGTAGGTCCATGAGTTACTAGCACATAAACACACACACACACACACACAGATCAAGTTACATATACACAGTAGGTTTCAAATCTGTGACTATATATAGGTACTATTATTATAAATGTGAATATTTATAAGGACTATGTATGTATGGATGTCTGGATTTATGGGTATTTGTTGTTCTATCAAGTAAGACTTAAATAATTTTGATGTAACTAGAGTTATGGCTTACACGTCTGAATAATAAGCTATAATTTTTCCCTAGAATATGTGTAGTACTAGAAGATACAGCATATTTCATGGACCCTATTTTCATATACACAAGAAGTAATAGGCAAACCAGTTGTGTATAATTTGTAATTGCCTTTTCACGACCGACTTACCTGCACGGAGGCTGCTTCTATGACGCGCAAGCTCCTAGTTAAGTCTTAGAAATTAATATTACATCTTCTTCCTGGCAATTTCCCAGATTTAGCCAGGGTCTGCCTTCCTACTTAAGCTCCTCCACTTTACACGGTCTTTAATTAATATTACATATACATACTTATTATATTGTGTGTCTCAGATGGTCGATGGCAGATAGACGGTAGGTGTTCATCGTGTGTGGTGACCGCTCGGCTGGTGGGGGGGAAGGGGGTAGTAGCCTGGCAACACGCTCAGATTGGTCGACAACACCTCTCAGAAGACAAACCAACGATCAGTCTACAAGCTACCGTCGTGCCACGATGATTAACACGCTACCTACAACAAACAACACATATGATAATTACAACAATATAAACTGTATATACATGAAATATGTTTATTAAATACGTTATGTTGCCATGTATTTTAATTTTTGAATTTTTTTAATTGTTGTAACTGGGAAATTTTGAATGATCGCCACACTGCCTATATACTGCATATTAAAATGACAAGTGACAATTCATTGTTATACTTTATTAACTAATAATAGAATAGATGCTTTATCAGCCGCCTTAATATACGCTTGTTTATATATCACAATATATCCGTATTAAATTTTTTAAATATATATTAATAGTGTTATATAAATATGCTGTTGAAAATAAAGATTTTGCTTTCGATAAGAATTTTATTTTATATAAATGGAATCATTATAGTAATTTATCCCAAAATAGTTCCTAATCACCTTTAATAAATTGCTGAATATATTTATCTTTTACTATTTATATGCTTATATTATTGAAATTTAACTACATACAAGAGGTTACCTACCTCTTGAAAAGATATTAGGTGAGAACTAAAACTAAATATTAAAAAGTTATGCTAACACCTGCAAAACAATCATCATAGTCGCTAAAGGCTCTGGAACTCTGGCAGAGAAACAAATACAATACATATTATTATTTTTTTAATTGACCAATTTACTACTTCATCTAATCACAATTATTTCATTAATATTATAAATGAGATAATGATATATCCGTGCTTCTCAAGCAAATCTGCCGCTAAAATCAACCTATAGTACAATAATTGCTCTATTAGTGTATGTATATTCCCTGTGGCTACTAAAATAAGTGGATCAAAAGTAATAGAATTTTTCATATTATTATGCTATGGTTTCATTTATAATGAAATTTTTGAATATTTTTGGGACTGTTAATATTTTTATTTATTAAAGAGTTAATTTAGTTGACACTGACGGATGTAAAATTAGACACATTCACACAAAATGTGTTTTTATAGTCACAACTCACATTAAAATTTTGACAGCTTCACTGCCCCCTGTTCATTCGTTAACAAAGTTAAAAATACAGTGGAAATCTCGCGCGGACAATTAATTGATTGGCAAAAAATCCTAAAGTATAATACTTTAAGAACTTATATTAATGAAAAGAATGTCGTCAATTAGAAGATTTATAGGTAATACATTTAATTGTCACAAAATCCTTATAAATAGAAAAATACAGGTTCTTCAACTGCAATTAAAATGTTTAGCTTTCTTTCTTAGAATATTTGGAACTATTTTAAAAAGTAAATTTTTCATTATTTTAATTTAAAGGTAATGAAGTTTTAACCAATAAAAGTATTTTATAAGCTATATATTTAGTGATGTGCTTAATACACTTACGAAAACATTTGAAAAACACCTAAAAAGCGAATGTGGTGTTGGTTATGTGCGAGTATATGAGAGTTATTTCCTTATGTCAATTTTTTTATTCAGATATTGGGGCAAACCTAACTGACGACATGTATCAAGGATCTTATCATGGATCAAAAAAGCATGAACCTGATTTAGGGAAGGTTTTAAACAGAGCTTGGGATGGAGGAATGAATAGAATTATTATAACTGGAGGAAATCTGATCGACAGCAAGAAAGCTATAGAGTTAAGCCGCACAGATTGTAAGTTATGTATTAATATATAACAAAATAAAGTTATTTTTTATGTATTAGCTTTGGTTCGGTCTTATTTACAGCGAGATTATTTTCCACTGTAGGATGCCATCCCACTAGATGTGGGGATTTTCTCCCAGACCCCGAAAAATATTTGAGTGATCTAAAACATTTGATTCAGGAGAATAAAGATAAAGTGGTTGCTATTGGGGAACTTGGATTAGACTATGAGAGGTTGCATTTTTGTGAGAAAGAAGTTCAACTCAAGTATGTATTTAATTTTAAATAAATTTATGGTTTACTCATCTAACATTTTATTTTTTTGCTCTTACTATAGACCAATTTATTCCTTACCAAAAATATCACAAGCACAAAAGAAACATTATGAATTTATAAAACCTAAATAACAGCAGATTTAAAATATTTTAGGTATTTTGAATATCAATTGAAGTTGTCTCAAGAACTTCAACTACCATTGTTCCTGCATTGTCGGAATGCAGCCAATGATTTAGTTGAAATTTTAAGTAGAAACAAGGAACATGTAGTAGGCGGAGTTGTTCATTCATTTGATGGGACTCAAGAGGAATTGGAAAATATATTGAAATTAGATTTATTCATTGGTATAAATGGATGGTAAGTCGGTATTATCATCATGTAGATTTTAATAGTTGTATGGTCGCTTTATCGACTTCTCATCAAGAAACACTTAGAATTTAATCCATCACTTTAATTACAGTTCATTAAGAACAAAAGAGAATCTTGAGGTAGCTGCTAGAATACCACAGGATAGATTAATGATAGAGACAGACAGTCCATGGTGTGAAGTGAAACAAACTCATCCAGGCTATAAATATGTTGTCACTAAACCGGCAACTGTGAAAAAGGAAAAGTACTCTGTGGAATCAGACTGCCAAGTGAAGGGTAGAAATGAACCTGTTAATATTATGTAAGCATTACTTAGAAATATAATTTCTAATTTTTTTTTGTGTCATAAGTGCATATATAGAACATGTATATACAGGGTGACTGGTGAATTACTATAAATATTTAAGGAGCATACTCGGTACATGATTCTCATTCGAATTATGTAAAAAAATAGGTACATACTTAATTTTTGACCAAATTTCCGTATAAATAAATAAAGTGTGTACACATTCCAAGTGTTCCAAGTGTGGACGCGTGCGGCGGCGTGCTGATACAACAACACGCCTCCGCGCGCGTATGTGTGAGTGTGTGTGTATACCTAATCTGTAGGGTGTTCATACGATACGTAATTAATTACATAACTTTTGGTTAACTTTACTTAGAAGTTTATTAATATTTATGTTATATTAATTTTTATTTTGTCATATATGATCGTCAAATATCACGTCCTCAAATATCGATAGTAATTCACCAGTCACCCTGTATAAGCTGCATACCTACTGCATCACATTATAATATAATTTGGTTTAATATTTTCAGACAAGTCCTGGAAATACTTGCAGCCATAAGAAACGAACCCATTGATGAACTAGCGGAAACAATTTATAACAACACCTGCAAGTTATTTTTTAACAATAAGTGATAATATTGTATAGATATATTTTGAATAAAGCCAGTTTTTCACATTACCTTTCTTATTATTGACTTCTATAATATAACTATTATTAAAAAATATTCATATTAGTAATATTATATGCGTGACGATAATTTATATTCATATATTTAGTCACCTGTCTGCCGGTCCCCTCGGGCCCGAATTAAAATAGGTTGGTCCCATCGGGCCACCCACCCCTCCCGGTGACGTTGCCAAATCCATTAGGGCTAACAGCTACTGACAAACCGAAACTTAGAAGAAAAGTTATGTTGCATTAAATAGTAGGTTTAATGTAAATGCTTCATTTACTAAGCTTTTGAATGACGAGAGCCACGTGGCACGGTGAAACTTAGGTGAAATATTTTCGCCTCAGGAGGAAAACAGTCGAAGGTATTGGCCCCGATAGTCGACCTGTGGAAGTGACCGCTCTCTCCCGATTGCTTTTTTTTTAGAGGAAAATGCCCCTTGAAAGTCAAAGATGTAGCAATCGATCATAAAACTTCCGCTTTAACCTACTCCAAACCAAAAAATCCAAATGTCAGATTTTCAATTCAGTTTAAATAGAAGTTGATATTAGGCCCACACGCGCGTACAAAGGAGCGCAGTAGGGGCAGAGGGGGCTGGGCGGCCTCACGCTACCACTGCATCGCCCGCCCCGATCTATAATACTTAGTTTATTGTGGGATGCCATTGTACAACTGAAGAAGAGGAGAGTCTGATCAAAACGCAAAAGTTCCGCGCGACCACCGCTGTCCGCTGTATCTGCGCGTTTAAAATACGCCGTGTGCTATGGGCCTTATCTTCATTTGAAGTAATTTCATTCATACGCTACTTTTGTGTGATTCAATGTTCAATAAACATTAGATGATTTCGTAAAAGTCAATTTTAATCTGTATACTTTATACTATAAGTTGGTGCCCTCAAAATAAATACGAAGCTTCTTTCGTTTCATTCAATAAACCCTCTTAATAATATAAATAGTACGAAGTTTATTCATATAAAACGTTTAACGCTACGTATAAAGTATGTACTGTGACGATAATAGCTAAATGTTCGTCATAGGTCGGATAAAAGTTCAAATAAATTAATGTGGTAGCTAAAAATAACGTCGTGTAATACAATAAAACACTTTATAAATAAAAATTATTTTATTTCAGCATTTAACACACAATCTTTCAACACAAATAAATACACTACGAATCTTTATTATCTATAACAGTTAAAATTATAGGGGTCTAGTCTTTTCACCGAAATGCATTTGACGGAATGTATTAAACAAATACTGATATTGTCATGATTCTTTTAATTGATAATAGGACTTTTAATTAATTTAAAACATTTTCTCTATGTAAAATTTTCACTTAAATCATTCAAAATAGACAATTCATTACACAGCTAAAGTTACTGTTAGAAACAAACACTGAGATATAAACTATATACAAAGAAAAGTATTCGATCTGAACTCAGATACATTAACAAAGTGAGATGTACTTAACTAAACAAAACCTTCAACATGATGACTGATTTATAAACTAAAATTTGATAACACATTATCCCTGAATGGTAAGTTTGTAAAGATTGGTTGTTAATTTAATATAAATAATATTTCGAAAGTAAATTGTTTCAGTGTCTTTCACTGTCTCGATGTTACAAACTTCACGGTATCTTGGAGTACACATTGACCTGCTCCCTGAACCAGTGGAAGTATGTACACATGTGGGACTTGGTAGCGTTTAAGGCCAACTGAGTCTTGTTGTGAAGGATCTCCGGAGCCCAATCACCTCTGAAATACAATTTGTTACATATTATTGTAAATAGATATTAGAATTTTATTTATTTGGTGAAAACAAGGGGATCTTAATGTTAACAGACAAGTATACAAGAGAAAAAAGCTATGAAAAAAATAAGAATATAAAAGTAATTTAGAAAAAATTATAATGGTAGATATGTACAAGCACTATGTATGGGAAAGTAAATAATTGTTATGTATGTATATAATAAAGATAATAAAATTGATGAAGATTAAAACTTATGTCTCTTTGAAACATGCTGCTTTATTTTATATTTGCATAAGCATATCTTGACGGCTTTCAATAAACTTGGTAAATCTTTAAACAACTCAGACTAAAGATCAATTTAAGGACAATAATTTTGAGGCAATAAATTGATTAACACTAAAAGCTATCTGTCATTATATTGAAACAGCAACGAAAATAAAAAAATTATATATGAAAGTACAAAGATTTACTAGAATTGAAGAAAGTAGTAATGTGTTTAGCAAATGATCATATTAAATGAGGTGTGTTATATAAATGTTGAGTATTAAATACAATATTAATAACTTACACAAACACTTTAGTTGATAAATAATCAACTGTCATTTGGTAGTAGTCATTTGAATACTTCTTAACAGCTGCGATACCATTGACGGTGTAACTTTGAACAGTTTCAACAACACCTGGTGCATATTGCTCTATAGTTGCAACGACTACAGGTGTCTTGTCAACAACATATTCTTTCATATTCATATATAGGATTCCAAGTTTCTTGACGGCCACAGTAACTGCGTCTTTTGAGAGCTGTGCATACGGCTTGCAAGCTTCAACGGTCTGGGCATAATACACCGGTGCATTGCTTTCCATCCATAGATAGCCTCGGGCTGATGCTGACAAACCCTTTTGCCACGCTCTTTGACTTTGTTCGAGAATGCCCAAGTCATTCATCAGTTTACCCGTCGCACTCTCTGAAAATAATATTAATGATTTAAAAAAAATTATTACCAGAATCATTATATTACCATGAGTTTACACATGTATGCATTAAGTATCAAATGCAAACTCTAAATTATTATGAAACAGGTAAAAGATGCCTATGTATTAAATAATTATGTTATTGAAATAAAATAATAAACAAAAATGTTTGACAAATAATGTTTTGTATAAATAAAAAAAACACTTAAGATAATGTTTCAAAGACAACAAAGCCAAAGGGTAAAGATGAAATGAGTTATCAATATGTTACACACATTTCTATCAGTAATATGAATTTTAGTTAAATGCTGACTAACTCTTACTTCTTACATGTATGCATCAAAGGTCATGTGCTCCTAATTAGAAATAAACAACTTTATATATTTCTACCTTATATATTTCTATATTGATGGGTTCTGTATGTTATGTACAAGGGCCAAAGTAACAATTTAGCAATTTCATTTTTTTGCTTTAAACACTTCATAATATTATGTATACATCCATTTAAAAAAATGTGTATTTGTTGGTGGAAATTCTAATTTTTAATGCAGTAATAAAGCATAAGTAACATACTTTTAAACATATAAGGGCTTACAACATGTATATTATAAAAACGTATACATTTAAAAAATTAATAGGTTTACAAAAAAGTTTATCAAGCTTAAATAACATACATGTATGTCATAGTTGCTATGCAAAGTTTCAAAAGCATCAGTTATCGCATGTACAAGATGCATTGAAATCAAACTTAAAACACCTCTATTGAAAAATTTACATTTAGCACATTGGCCCTTATACATAGGAGCCATTGATATAGTATAAAAAGTATATAATGTGTAGTCATGGAATTACTGTAGTTAATAAAGATTAACTTACTCGGGAAGTCTCCTCCGACTCTTGATACATCATATGCTATCAGTCCTCCAATACTGATTAAAACCAGCAGACTGGCCCAAACCCATGGGAATCTTCTAGTGCTTGTCATTCTGTCTAGAATATCCTGTAATTAATGATCTTATTTTAATAATTCCTAATTTGTAGATGAAAACAATTTAAGTGTTTCTTTTTATAATTATTTCGAAAATGAGAGCCAGATTTAAATTTCTTATCTAACAAACTAGTTAAAAACTTACAATAATCTTAATGAATTTGTTAAAATTTTAAACAATATTTTCCTAATACATATATGAAAAATTAACATAGTACTATATGTTAATTTTTCATTTTTTAAAAGAGAAAATCTTGACCAAAAGTATTAATTATGTATTCTTATTAAGATCACAGTGATGAATAAATAAATTTGTGGGCATTCTATTTTAGGACATCAAAAATCCAGTATGAGTCGGTCTTAATAATTACCAATAAAATGAAAATAAAAATAGATATTATTTTTAAATATTGCAAATTTTGCCTTAAAATTTAAAATCTCATTTATTCAATGCGCGAATAAAAGTTATCACTGCACGTAATAGAAACCGGATTCAAGCAAGATTCAATAACAGCATAATTGAATATTAAAGTGCAATTTGTTACATATTTTAATTACTTCACCTGTCTTTTTTAATAGCGTATATCTTTAAATAACCACTTTTAATCTCCCACCGAGTAACGGATGTATCGCGTCACTAAACTGTTACTACTCACGATTTTTGGACATGTAATATTGGACACGTAATATATATTCAACTTTTACTGTTATGATACCAAGTTTAAACTACAATGTTTCACTGGCGAACGATCTTCACGTTTCACGCCCATAAGGAAAATTCCTATTACGTACTTTTTTATAACATCTACTCACCAACTGGATTTCAAAACGAGTATTTTATGAATGTCAAATAAGATCTAATTTAACAATATCTTGTTAAATTTTCGATATTTTAATTAGATTTTATTGGGAGATGACAATAAGATCTTGATTAATCCATTTATATCTCTCGTCTCGACTCTCGAGTATCACTGATATTTTGTTTGACATTGATTAAGAGCAAACATCGGTGTGGCCATTCCGATAATGAGAGTGATATCTATTTAATATTTGTCTTAATGATAAATCAAAGTTATTTAATGAGATTATTTTAAAAGGGCGAAATAAAAATATTAAGGCAATTTTTATTTAGATAATTTATAAATACTGTTTCGAGAAACGACGCTACCGGTGAGTGGGTTACCATTAAAAAAACAAAAATAAAACTTTACTTCCGAATAAAATAAGATCTATAATTAAAAAAATTAAATATAATTTAAATAAACTCACAACCTTTTGTAAAATGGGTTCCCAGTTATTTTACTTTAGATTGAAATCTTGCACGTGTCGATGAGTTTTTATTATAAATGCAATTATTTTATTATTTTAGTATTATCTCAACAAAGCTTTTAATATTAAGAATAAGATGAAAAAAAAATCATGTGTATATAATAATATATAATGCTAAAATCCAAAAATATAGTAGAAAATCATAAAATATTATTTTGGGACAGATTTAAAAAAGATATATTTCATTATAAAAAAGTATTGAGTACAATGTAAATGTTTAATTATAAATATATAAAAGACAAAAATAACTAGGTAAATAAAACCCAATTCATCGGAATTTTTCGTTTGAACATTAAAGATTTTTGCCTTGTATATAATCCGTAGTAACTTCTTAACAAATATTTTTTAAAATCTTATTTAAATACAGGGTGACTGGTGAATTACTATCGATATTTGAGGACGTGATATTTGACGATCATATATGACAAAATAAAAATTAATATAACATAAATATTAATAAACTTCTAAGTAAAGTTAACCAAAAGTTATGTAATTAATTACGCATCGTGTGAACACCCTACAGATTAGGTATACACTGACACTCACACATACGCGTGTCGTGACGTGGTGTTGTGTCAGCACGCCGCCGTACGCGTCCACACTTGAACACTTGGAACGTGTACACACTTTATTTATTTATACGGAAATTTTGTAAAAAATTAAGTGCCTATTTTTTTACATAATTCGAATGAGAATCATGTACCGAGTATTCTTCTTAAATATTGATAGTAATTCACCAGTCACCCTGTATATTTAAACTAACTGATAATATATTTTTATACTTAATGAAAATATTATATTGTACCTAATCTATTTTTAAACGTTTGTGGTTGTAATGTTAGTTCGCCACCACAAGTGTAATATTAAGTGCAATTACCTTATTAGAATTATTATTTCATAATTTAAATATATTATGGACATCGATTTCATGGTTTTTTACCTAGATAGGTATATATAATTTAAAAACCATGATATTTTTTTGCCGGCATCCAGAGTGGTACGCCAGAAAGTTAAGAAATCGATGGCGGTAGGTGATAGAATAACAAGACCAACTGATAGACACTCACATCTCGTCTGCCCGTGATCACGGTTGCTGTAAAGTAACCGAAACGTCGGGAGTATGTAGTGTATAATCAAAAATAATAATCGCGTAGTATATCCGAAAAATATTAGTTTCATTTAAATTAATACTCGCGAATTTATTAGATCTCATTATTTTCGTATATTGTTAGCGGATTCATTTAGGTACGTATAAGTAAAAGTGTATTTAGCGAATTTAAAATTTCAATATCTTTTTTAATTTATGCTAAAGCTTCATTCATATTGGATTTAAATTTTATCTCACATTTTGATAACGTCACTGCCATAGTGGTCATTAATTATGAAATGAATTTATATATTAGTCGTTTTATAACTCTTACTTTTAAAAAGCCTTAAGTAATAATAATTTATAATCAAACCTTGTCTCTTTTATAAAGCCTGTTTAAAATTATTATGAACTTTCAAATTCAAATAATCTCTGCCAATAAACCCACAGACAAAAAAAAAGAAATATCGATATTTTTTTAAACATACCATAGGTAATAACTTAATAAGTAATCATATCTGTTTATAATTTTTTAAGAAATATTTAAAGTAGTGTTGCAGAACCATCGATAGTTTGACTATCGATAGTTGACCTCGAAAACTATTTAGAATATCGATAGATTATATTAACTATCGGCTTTGCCTTTACTATCAATTTAACATCGATAGCCTCTTGATAGTGGACTATACAATATACTATATACAACACTAATGTAAAGATAGAATATTATATTTAGCTGAGATATATGGAGCATCTTTACTAATATTATAAATGCGAAAGTAACTCTGTCTGTCTGTCTGTCACCCTTTCACGCCTCAACAACTGAACGGATTTTAAGGAAATTTGGTACAGAGATAGAGTTGACCTTGAGAAAGAACATAGGATAGTTTTTATCCCAGACTTATGAAAGGTTCTCTTGGAAACGCGATATCACCGAACTCCACGCGGGCGAAACTGCGGGCGGAAAGCTAGTAAATATATAATCATAGTAATGATATAATATTATTTTCAGTTGAGATATAAATATATTATAATATAATCATATCAATTACCTGGCAGATCTTGTTAGCTTTGACGACTGTTTCATCTTTCTTCTTACCCTTCAGAGTCTCCCCACATACTTCCTTGAACTGTAGTATGGTCGCCTTCAAGGATTTCTTTTTCAATTTCGGACTAACTTCATCCCAATACGTATCTGTATGAAATGTTAAAACAATAGTATTTACATTAATAATTACAATAAGTTACTATATATACATGTAATAATAAAGTAATTTACTAATTTCATGAGTTATGAGACAAAAACCCTTTATTTTGTTATCATGACAGCTTGGTTTACAAAGAAGATTGGGCTTAAGACAGAAAAATGGGGGTTGATGATGAAAAAGGAATAATTTAGGATTGTATGTATTTTCTAATGCCACATTATACAAAAATAAAAACAAAATATTTTATCCAAAAATAAAATAATTTTTTTGGGTAGAAAAATAGATGTTGGCCGATTCTCAGACCTACTCAATATGCTCACAAAATTTAATGAGAATCGGTCAAGTTGTTTCAGAGGAGTACAGGAATGAATATTGTGATAAAAGAATTTTATATATAATATTACCTATATATTCAATAACAGTTGCCGATTGCTTGCTACATCTATTAAACAACTGTCTCCACGTAGCATTGCAGGAATCATCTAACTGTAGACAGTCTATAAGGCTTTCGACTATAACCTTATTGTAACTATCAAGTGTATTACCACTCAAGTACTGGTTTGGCAGTTTCTTCATTAGCTGGTTAAAAGTAACCTGTAGCTTATTACCGCTATGTTTAAAATATATATCCTGGAATATATGGTATAATTAATATAACATTTAATATATTCCCAAAGAGGGTTGATGTCAGGCAGGTGGCTGGTAAAAACAATTAACCAAAACTATTAACAACATGTAACACAGACCCTGGCTAAAGCTGGGAAATTGCCAGGTAGAAGAATATAACATTTAATATGTAGAAAGTCATATAATCGAGTCTGGTCATGCTAGAATGGCTTAATCTGTAAGTCAACTATTACATAATATTTCAGTGCTACAACAGTTATTTTTATCACAGCAACAGTTGAAGTTTTTCATTCATAAATCTAGGCTTTTAGTATCATGTCCAAATATTTATTAATGTAAATGAAAACACTCTGTATATAATGACAATGTGAAAACATTTTATGTCTACAGATCACGGGTTCGAACCACAGTTGTAGCATTTATATTTCATCCTTTACATTCTATATGAATTTTAATTAAATTTAGGCATATATATGATGATTTGAATTTATTAGTTATGGTTATAAAACTGTATCTACCTTATATTTACTTAATTGCTTGATAAGGTCACTTGACAGGTCCTTTGATAGTGAATTCCGTTTGCTGTTCACCATATCCAACATAGCCATTAGTTGGTCCTGGGTCACTTTTGTACTATCCATCGCAGCGTGCTTGTTAAGAATCTCACATAAATATAATATCACATATTTCGAGTAATTCTTCAATTCTATTAGCGGGAAGAACAAGTCTTGCCAAACTGAAAGTTTTAATGATGTTAGTCTTATTGTGGTAAAATTTATTAATTTATTATATAATCATTTCAAAAAAGTTCCTATATTAGTAACTGAAATTAATATTTTTTGATATGGTCAACTTTAACTAATTCTGTTAATATAACAAATGTTAATGATTTAAAATTAAAATATGTATGTAAATTTTATGTAAGTAATCACATTCACTTCAACAAAATTGTATCAAAATGAAATGTTTAGCAATATATAAAGCAAAACAAAATTTTTACATCACTAAAAAGAAAGTGTTAATTTTTGACCTGAATAATGTATTTTATAACTGAATGTTGTTACACCATAGTGTGCACGGACAGAATAAGATTCTTATCAGTTAGGAAACATGATAACAGAGTATTTTAAGTTTTAAGATAACATCTGTATATCTCGCCGTCAGATGACATATTTGATGAACAAAGTGATTTTTTTACTTCCTTTACTTGTTAAAATAAGTATTCAACCCTTTCTATGACTTGTACAAATTTTAAATTACAAAATGTATTATTAAATTTAAGTATGAATGTGACAAAAATAAAATAAAAAGTAGAACTAAGTAAGGCAATAATTGTTCACAGAATATCTATCATACCTTTTAAACCCACCGCAAAGTTGTTTAAGCCGCCTTGTCCTACAGTCCAAAGCAAGGAAAGACCAATAGGCGGACGATTTTGATAGGAGTTTCTTAAACTTATACTTTTAGGTAAAGAAACTAGACAAAAATCTGGATACTTCTGAGCTAATATTTGAAGCAACAATCTGTAACCATTGACAGACTGGCCTGAAACAAAAAATAGTAATACAATAAGGACAAATATGGTAAATTGGTGGTCTTTAAAGAATTTTATATTACTAATTTACCTCGACTCATATCGTTAGCAAGCGCTGTTAAGGATACATCGAAAAACAATTGCGTGTTAGCCTTTCCGGCATCATGAAGAACATTTTCTAATAGTTTGACGACTTCTAGAGGAGCGGCAGATAATGGATAGCCAGCATTGTTATTTAAAAATGTTGGATCTTCAACATCCATGGGAATTTTGGAATTAAGGTAATTGGCTACTTCCTTCAACCAAACCAGAGGGGCATTGGAAAATCTAAGTTTGTTTGTAGTTATGATGTTTCCGAGTTCTGAGAGGTCAAGCTGGAAGGAAAGAACATTTATATAATTATAAATAGTAATATTGTGTCGCAATGCATTAGGGCAGCAGTACTACAAATAGTTTTGATTAAAAATAATATCTTTTAACTAAGTAAAGGGTATTTTATTAATTATTGCAATATGTTAAGGTAATTAATTTAATAGAAGTTTATGAAATTCAACATTGCATACCATTTCTAAAGCTTCATCAATTGTTTTAGGAAGCTTAGGTTTAGGGGGTTCGGATTTTTTATCTTGCTTTTTCTTTTTATCGGCATTTTTTTTGTTATTTTGCGGCTTTTGGGTATCGTCGATTTCCATTCCACTGTAGTATTGTTTTAATTGAGAATGGGGGACTGTAAAACAAATATGATTACAGGATATTTAATAATATTATAGAAATAACTAGAATTAACCTAATAATGTTCAGTTAAAACAATAGTCTTACCGACATCTTCAAGTTTCGGTCCATTCTTAGTTGGTTTCTTCTCTTCCTCTTTAACATTTTTTACTTTACCGTTTTGGGATTTCTTATTTTTTCCAACAACTTCCCACTGACCGCTAGACATGTCTTTTATTTTTAAAGAAGAATTAATTATTTAAACAAATATTTTGTAAATATATAGAGATTAGAGAAAGCGACAGGTAACACGTCAAAAACAAAGCAAAAAATGTCAAATTGAAAGGTGAAGTGTGATCCTATTGGTTAATAAATTCCACTTGGACAAAACGTGGCACACCATTTAATACGTTTAATGCAATTTTAAATTTTTTGGTGTATGGTAAATAATTGTGCATAATTTCAAAATTACATGTAATTTACAAATATTGGTTTTTAGAAATATATTATATATTATGTAAAAAAAAATAAGTGGTGTTTCGAGAATCATATGAAATAAATTATAGCATGTAATTTCTGAAAAAATCAAGAATTTTTACTTAAAAATTTAATTTAAAAAATTCTTCTTATATTTTTTTCTTATTTACATACATAGTAATATTATTTATCTAATCGAATAGCAACAAATCGAGATGGGCACTGTCAAATTCAGAATAAGATGTCATGGTCAAATCGTAAAAACTCAAATTTGAGTTCCTGTAGTATTTGTTTTTTGCACTCAGCTGCTCTATGTAGTGAATTTTGTGTTTTGCGTTATATTTTTATAATAATAACGCACTACCAAAAGCAATCACGTTAAAGTGTAGTAGGACCTACAGTTTTAATCATGGTGAATATACATAATATAGAAGACAAACTAGTTATAGAAGACATTTCCAGCACCCTGAAGGAAAGGGTGTTTTTTGCTGCCAGGGATGGCATGTCACTGACTCTGTATGCCCTATTGTACGAAAAACACATTGACGACATAGAAGAAATCTTGAACAGCGTAAGTAATAAAGATATGTTCCCTAATCTCTGTAACTATTTTTAATATTTTGGTAATGTCATGAGTCAAAAAATAATGTTCGAGTAACGTGTTTAATATCTATTTTTGTCTTCCAAATCAGATGTTAGCTTAATTTGCGAGTCATTCACACGTTGTAGCGTCATTAAAATATTTAATCTATACAATTATTTTCTCAATACCATACATCTTCTATTTAAGTCGAAATAATTTTCGATTTAGTTCGCTTTTTTGGCAATGTTTTCATTACATCAAATATAACCCCTTTGTTACTGTTTTTTAAGTAATATCAATTTTTTTTTATGTTTATGCAAAATAATGACGGAATATTATATTTTATTTAACAAAATATTTGAGCTACAATGAATTGAGCATATGAAATTTAAAATATTTATATTATTTTGGTTTGAGCTAATGATATATTTTATGTAGATTTCATTGTTTATCTAATAAAAAATTTGTTAATTATAAAATAAGTTTAAAAAAGCTATGAAATGAGCTCCTTATATTTTGTAATATTTATTTTTTGAGGCTTTGGTTAATATGAAAAATCAAAGTGAAATATTTTATTAGAAATTCCTAATATTTAATACAGAACTGCTTTTAGTAATTTTTTTTATTAATTTTTAATAAATATGATATTAAGCATAGATATATAATATTCATGATATATTATAAAGCCACTTACTTTAAGTCATATAAGTTAAAATATCAGAGTATTCCAATGAATTTACACAAAATATTTTTTTTTATATAATATTTATACTTAAATAATATTTTCCTGCAACTTTGTATAGGATTCTGGATTTCGTGAGGTTTTAAATACATTTCAAACTACCTCAATAATTTATTCCAAAAAAATACAAGAAAAATTTAATAAACACAAAGATTGTTATATAAAAACAATGAATAAATTTAATTTTATTATTTCTGATACATCTTCGTACATAGCAGCTTTACCCCGAGTTGGTGATAACATCTTATTATGGGTTCTAATGACTTAAAGGGGTACTAAGAAACCCAAAAAAAGGAGTGTTGTGTAAATGCTGAGGGGTTGATTTGTAATTTCATTCAGCTATGAAAAGTTATATTAGTTTTTTAGTGTGTGAAAAATGGGGTGCAAAAAAATAATTTATCATCTAAGTGGGCAGTAGAGAAAATAAGTTTGTTAAACTTTGGTATAGAGGCAAATTTTTTTTTCATATAATAATTCTACTAATAATTCTTCAGTAGTTTCTTTAAGAGAGTGTTATTATGAGTATATTTCACCATACTACATATTATATTTCTATTTTCTCATTCGCAAGCTTTGTTTGATTCAATCATGTGTGAAGATTTATGAATGAAAAACTATAAATATTGTTACAATGATAAAATGTTAAAAGAGTATGTGTGTTTGTTCCACCGATCAATCACCTCTCATTTTGACAATATATTGTTATATCCATTATTCCAGGATGTATGCTGTGATGGTGTTAAGTGTACACCATTGATAGCGGCTGCAAGACATGGCAGAGAAGGTGCTGTACGAATACTGTTGGAGAAATTCCGACCTCCAGTCAGATTAGAAATCGAGGGGACCGTTAAATTTGACGAATATGTTATTGAAGGTTAGTTATTATAACTTGTTTATTATTTATATTATAAAGGAATTCAGTAGATGTAATGTATTTTTTTTGACTTCTTGACATATAATGCAATATTTATAAATATGAGTGTATATATGTCTGGTTGATGAAGTGTGATGATCTATTTTTAACCACTCGTAGCTATCATAATTGAAATAATTTCTATTAGGTGATAACGAGCCCTCAACAAGTTTAAGGTCAACAGTTTTATATTTATTTGAAAAATATATGTAATATTTACTTCTGAAGCATGTTTTAATGAAAATATGATTTAATATTATAATTATATCATATATATATATTTACTTTGTTAAAGTTTTCAAACAAAGCAAATTAACAAAGTGTGCCAACAAAGGTCGTTATGCTCTGAATAAAATTACGGAGGCGCATTAAAACTATGTTCGCTGATGATTTGTACATCAGAATAGAAGTTTAATTGAATTAAACAGTTGAATAGTTATAATTTTTAACCGACTGCCGTAGAAGAGGTAGTTTTTGGCGCGTATCATGTGTAGCGTACATGTTACATTTTTAATTCCTTTGTTGTCGTATCTGCGAAATATTTTATAAGAGATAGTTATACAGGGTGACTGGTGAATTACTATCAATATTTAAGGAGAACACTCGGTACATGATTCTCATTAGAATTATGTAAAAAAAATAGGTACTTAATTTTTGACTAAATTTCCGTATAAATAAATAAAGTGTTGACACGTTCCAAGTGTTCCTAGTGTGGACGCGTGCGGCGGCGTGCTAATACAACACTACGCCGCCGTCCGCGTATGTGTGAGTGTGAGTGTATACCTAATCTGTAGGGTGTTCATACGATGCGTAATTAATTACATAACTTTTGGTTAACTTTACTTAGAAGTTTATTAATATTTATGTTATATTAATTTTTATTTTGTCATATATGATCGTCAAATATCACGTCCTCAAATATTGATAGTAATTCACCAGTCACCCTGTATATTTACATACATTTTAAAAGCTCAAATGTTTTTTTTATAGCTGTTTAAAAATGAAAAACAAAAACTAGTTGGCGGATTTCGTTAAACGGAACGGTCATTGATATAAAAACAGCACAAAAAACTTGAGTAACGTTGAACAATAAAGGAAGTAAGAATTATGAAAGAAGTGATTTTTCATTGATAAATGTTTTCGTAAATAGAATTTAAAAGTTTATTCCTATAGTGAAAAATGTTTCACTAATAATTTATTGGGATGACATCAAACATTTTGATTTTTTTTTGACAGTCGACTTTTTGTTCTTTGAATTATGTATGTATTTATTTTTGTGTGCAACACTTAACACGGTCCCGATGTTCATGAAGCAGTTCTTACAATTCGTAATATTTATATTATGTAATATATATTTGATATATTATACGATTGATAATATTTAAATGAAATACATATACAGATTCAAAATGCATGAAATGAGATTTTTCGATTCAGTTGTTCTATTGAATGAAGTCTATATCTTAAAGATGACCTTTAGTGTTTAGTGTGGGGAAATTACTTCGTATGTACTTGTACTGACATTGAAAAATTTAATTTCTTGTTAAAACTTAACTGAAACTAAGTGGAAGCAATAGAGTTTATTTGGTGAGTTCTAAGATTTTCGCGAGTATTTATTGAAATGAAACTAATATTTCTCAGGTTTTATTATACACTTATAATTATTTTAAACTACATACTTCCGACGTTTTGGTTACTTTGCATCAACCGTGATCACGGACAGACGAGATATGATCACGATTCACGGTTTAATTTCAAGTTTTATATAAGTTTATTTGATTGATGTACTATGACTTTTATAATTATAATGTTATTCTATAGGTAATGAGTTTCCCGGGAGTGTCGTCAGTTGTGAGCGCATTGACTTTTTACGTGTTGTGGTGCGCGTGGCGATATATTTATAGAATTAATTCGTTTGTACACAAAGACTGTTCCGCTGTCTGTATATACTATATGTATATAGTCAGTTGGCGTTTTACCAGATCTTTCTTTGAGTATGATTTTAATATATTAAAGAGTGTTTATTAAATATTTTGAATTTCAAGCATCTTGTTCTTTGATGTTGAAACTGTATTGATTTGAGCTTTTTTCAGAATTTTTATGTAGAATTTAAAGTTTCCCTTTAAAATTATGGCGCAATGGATTATGAGGTTTAATTTTTATATAATGTAGTAAAACGTGTTACTGTTAAAACAAATTTAAGAAGTTTTCAGTCTCTAACAAAGTTGGGGTATATAGCTATTAAGTTATCTCCTCTTCTCATTTATTTTATAGGATTATTTCAATTGTGACGTTTAAATTTAAAATGTTTTATAATGTTAATTTTTCTTTGTTTTTTAAATACTTTTTTTTATCAATCGACCGAATATATAAGCTTTATTGAAATGTGAACAATATAGAAAAATATCTATTCCTAATAATAGTGTGAATAGATGAGATTTCTACGTTGATAAAATATACGCAGTGTACAAATCATCTAAAATAAACTTTGTAACATATTTTGTAATGAAAGTGAAGGTTACATTTCTTGCAGACCGTATACAATTAAAATTCCTAATTACATATAATAATCAGTGCAGAAAAGACTATTTTTATTACGCAATAACGAAAATAATCTGCATTTGTACTAGAATTCTGAAAAAATATACAAAATTGGATGCAACGACTTAAATTTTTATGAAAAATATAAGAATATAGAATTCCTTAATAAATTTCCAAGAAATTCTTTTGCCCAAAAAAGAATTGAAGTAAATACGAATTTTTTTGCATTGCATAGGAGCAACGGCTCTTTTGCAAAATTGGATACAATGACTCAGGTTCTTATACAAAATGTAAGAATATAAAATTCCTTAATGAATTTAGAAGAAATTCTTTTGCCCAAAAAAGAATTGAATGACATACGAATTTTTTTGCATTGCATAGGAGCAACGGCTCTTTGGTGCGCGGCGGGTGCCGGTCATCTGGGTATCGTGAAGCGTTTGGTGCGTGCTGGTGCTAACGTGAATCACGCCACCAAGACACTCAGCACGCCGCTCAGAGCCGCGTGCTTTGATGGAAGACTCGACATCGTGAAGTATCTGGTGCGACACGGAGCCGATATACACAAGGCGAACAAATATAACAATACGTGTCTCATGATAGCCGCTTACAAGGGACATTTGGATGTTGTGAGTATTGTGATCATTATTAGTAAAGAAAGATTCGTAATGTATATTTAAACTTTTATAAAGGTCCATTAGAGCAAAATTTTTGTTACACCTTGTATATTCTTCGTGATATATTTTTTTGAAATACAATTTGATTTTTTTTAAATTTATTTTACCTCTTTAACTCATAAGTTAAAAGAATGAATCTCAACCTCTTTATGACTCTCAAACTAGACTTTTTCTGGCTTATCTCTTGATATTCAACTTTTAGAGGTTCTACTGTAGTTTGAATTCAAATTCTAAATCTAATATAAACATATAATGCTAAGTAATTAATTCCAATGAGGACACTATAGCTCAATTATAACACGTTGCGATGTTAAATACGTTATCGTAGGTTCAAATCCTGTTAATGTGTGTGTGATGTCCCAGGTTCAATTCCTGTTGGACAGCGGCGCGCGTGTGGACGAGCGAGCTCTGTGTGGTGCCACAGCCTTGCACTTTGCTTCTGAGTGTGGCCACGCGGCCGTGGTCTGCGCTCTCATTGACCACAACGCGAAAATACTCACAAACGAACACGGTGAGATACATATAAATCTATTTTGTTGGATTAAGGATAATTGTAACTTTTTTTGAGTAGAAGTAACGTTATTCACGTCACAGATTAGAGAGAGTATACAAAAGATTATATTATAGTGTTGCTAAAGTTATCTTGGTGTTGCAATGTTCAAAAATGACATAAATTTAATACATTCAACAAATATATCATGTATTGTATATATGACACATAAGAATACTTATTCTGTATCTCTTTGTGTATTTAAATAAAGTAGCCTGCCCACCACAACGTTTCATACTATGACCGTATAAGGAACGTGTTAGGATCGATATACAAAACGATATGTTTTACTATACTACATACAAATCGGCGAAGGAACGAACTACTACTGGCCATATTACTATACTACTCATATATTTCAATACAAAAAATTTTCTTTCGCCTGATTTACCTGTTACTTTCATAGTTACATACGTTACGACTTACGAGCATGTAATTATCTCGTTTTTGACATTCAAAAATACATCAACAAATATCCGTTCTACTATCAAACATTATTCGCTTCATCAAACTAGTCCAAGACGTAATTTATAATTATGATTTATATTACTTTATTCCTAGTTATTATATTATATGTGTGTGTGTGTAGGTATGACCCCCCTCCAGTGCGCGGCCGAGCGCGCCCGGGCCTCAGTGGTGGAGATCCTAGCAGCCAGGCCCGAGGTCTCCCGGACACAAGCTATAGACGCGTACGAGCTGCTCGGCGCATCGTTCGCTAATGACAAGGAGTACTACTGTTTGAGGGTAGGTCGGCGCTTGTGACGACACACAACATACTATACACTTGTATTGTTGATTAAGTCAATAATCAACTTTAATATTACAAATTTGTTATACTAGCTGAACCCCGCGGTGTTACGGATTTCCGAGTTGTAAAGTAGCCTATGTGTTATTTCTGGACGTCAGCTTCCTGTATACAAAATTTTATCAAAATCGGTTCAGCCGTTTGAGCGTGAAGAAGTAGCAAACATACACACACACTCACAAATTTTCGCAATTATAATATTAGTAGGATGTATATATATGTAAAGATTCCAATTCAAACAATATAATATGCTCCTTTATCATATTCTGTCTCGCGATGTATATATTTTTTTACTACCACTTTCGGATAGCGCCAAAAATAATGACATATCTTTTACTGTACCAGGAATCAAATTCGTTATATTAAGTAAGAATGTACATTACTAATTACTATGTATACATAATATGTATAAAAACATGAAATTCATATTTGTCTGTTTTTGGAGAAAATTTCAATTTATTCGACAATAATATAAAACAGCTAATATATATCCAATTTTATGCCATGTTTGTGAACAGATGGCGTACCAGTACCTACATAGAGCTATGGCCATGAGGTACGACACACGCTACGGAGTCATACTCAAGATACCCGCCGAGCCCATACCCGCATACGACAACTGGAGGGAGAGCACCACTATGGCGGTGAGGAATACACACACACACATACATATATGTATATATATATATATATATGAAAGAAAGTCGTGTTAGTTACACTGTTTATAACTTGCGAACGGTTGTACGGATTTGGTTGAAGATTGGTGGAGAGATAGCTTAGAACAAAGAAAGGACATAGGATACTTTTCATAATATTGAAAAAAAAATAACAAATATTTCCATCCGTTAAATTCTATGGTTTCAACAGATAAAATGATATTGCGGCCATAAAATAAGATGTGTGCTATGTTATCTTTCAAGTTAGATCAAACAGCACACGGTGTGCAAATTTAATTTAATATCGGTCAAGGAGTTTAAGAGTTCATTGCGGACAAACAACGGGAGTCGTGATATATACATTATACATTAGCCAATTTTTTTTTTGCTTTAAACACTTTATAATACTGTATTAAAATACATATATATATTAAAAAACTAGTAGGTTTATAAAAAAGTTTATCAAGCTTAAATGATGTACATGTATGTCATAGTTGCTATGCAAAGTTTCAAAAGCATCAGTTGTCACATGTACAAGATACATTGAAATCAAACTTAAAACATCTGTATTGAAAAATTGTTATTTAGCACATTGGCCCTTATACATAGGAGCCATTGATATCTTAATATATCTCCGTTATTTTTATATTAATATTGTTGGTTACCAGGACATAGAGCGTCTCCCGGGAAACCCCCACGCGCTGCACATGGAGGGCCTCACAGTCCGCGAGCGGGTCCTGGGCCGCGCGTGCCCGGACCTGCCGCACCCGGTCGTGTTCCGCGGGGCCGTGTTCGCGGACGAGGCCCGCTTCGACCGCTGTCTCGCTCTGTGGAAGCACGCCCTCTCGCTCAGACATCAGAACCAGGTATATGATAAATAACATACGATAGATGCTCATATGGTTGTAATATAATGAAGTATGAACAACATACGACAGATGTACATATTCTTCTTCTTCTACCTGGCAATTTCCCAGCTATAGCCAGGGTCTGCCTTACATGTTGTGAATAGTTTTGGCTATTTGTACTATACTGACTTTAACTGATGTTCATATTGTTGTAATATAATTAAGTAAAATCTGTTTCTGAAGATACTTATGTGTATACGAAATCTGAGAAGAGTTGTCGGTGACATTATACAAGTATATGTATACACGTTTGTAATTGAACGTTAGTATGAACAGTACAAGACAAATGTTTATATGTATTATCATTAATTTTGTAGTATAAGTAAGTACTATCTTTTACAATCTACTAAAAGTGGTCTCTGTCATTATATATGTGCGTTTGTATTTTAGTGACTTCTTTTAATTATATTAATCTGTGGTACATACAGTCACCATTCAGATTTTTAAGTCTTATTTGTAACACTATACTCTGAGATAGAAAGTTATTTTTGAGTAATAAACTTCTTTAAACGTCTCATTGAAATATAGTTCGTAAATATCATAATGTTAGATATAATAAAATAATACAGCTTTCTTATAGACATCAGTTGTTAGGTTTATTTTATAAATAAACATTTATTGTATACCAAGAGTTGACTTAAAACGAGTTTAAAATCTCCTCGTATTAGCTCTAAGGAGTGGGAGAAAGGAGGGGAAGGGTTTGATAGGATTAGATGTTTGATCTTGCTAAAAACTAAAATTTGTTTTAGAATAAAGCTCATAATTAATTATTTCCAGGTGTCCGTAGTAAAGGACCTGCTGAGGTTCGCTCAAGTGTTCTCACAGATGATACACATCGGGATCGAGCTGCCGCTGTCACAGGTTATATATATTTATAATCTATGGTTCAAAATTATTATCACTACAAAGTTTTTTCTTCGTACATACTGTAGTGTTTGTATCTATATAAAAGATATAATATACTGTCTCACGTACCCCACTAGACGGGCGGCATGCGCTCGGCAGTCTAATGACTAGCGCGGAGCAGAACGGTGACGTGCGATGCGCTCTAGGCGGGGTAGTAGTGAGCCAGTGACTAGTTATACTCACATAGAAGACCAAGTATCCTACGCATACGATATAGAAATTTAATGTACGGTTTTAAACGAATTTAACTTATTTTAAAATTAATTACAGGTGTGTTTTGTTCTGGAGGCGTGCGCCGAGGAGTTGAGACGAGGTCTGAAGAGGATTGAGAAACCGCTCCCCAATCATGATCCTGACGCTTTGATTGTGAGGACATGTACATTATATATATACCAATAACTAAAAGAAAAACAATTTTCCACAGGTGTGGAATAAAAAAGTCGTAAATTTTTAAAGCTCTTAATTTATTGATAAATAAAATATAATATCAGTTTTAAAATCTAAACGTTATATGTATATGTGATCACTTACCAACTGCCAGCTACTGCAACATCAAATAACAACTGTGACTTAACTATATACAACAAAGTAAGCTAAAATATTTTCACCTCTTATACACATCTATAACTATGGAGTCTATCAAGAACACAATAGAGGAACTCACTGCACTATTTAATACTAAAATGTCTGAATTCCAAAAAGAATTAAAGACCTCCATCCCAGCTACGAGCCCTGCATCGAATATTAACAGTCAGTTCAATTTATTTCGGTCATTTGTTCTGACAGCCCTAGAAAACTTACAACTACAAGTCGAATTCTTATCAAGACAATATGACCAGTTGGAAATGCATTCAAGGAAGAAAATTATTCTGTTGCATGGAATTGCTGAAGATTCTAAAGAGAATGTCGCTGTGCGTGCCGCAAAAACTTTAGCTGAACATTTGAATATTCCAAATATTAACCCCGACTCCTTTAGACATTGTCATCGTTTAGGGCATATGGTTACTACGAAGCCCCGTCCAGTATTGATAAAATTTAAAGACCAATCGGTCAAAGATAAGGTCTGGTCCACCAAGTCCAGTTTGAAAGGCTCCGGAATAACCATGTCCGAGTTTCTCACAAAGGGCCGCCACAGAACATTCCTGGCCGCTAGACAAAGGTTTGGGGTTGCAAAGTGTTGGACAAGAGACGGGATCATTATAGTCCTGTCTTCGGATGGCTCGCGGCATCGTATTACCACCATGGCGGAATTACAAGCTATTCAGAGTGCTGGGAGCGATTCCTCAGTCCCGCAGACGTCACCTAATGCCGAGGAAGCCCCCAAACCATCCAAAGGCATTAATCCTAGGCTTAAGAGGACTGTGAAAAAGCTAACATAAAGTTCTGAGCATTGATAGTCCGCCTCAGTATGTATTCGCGTCTTTGTTTGCATTTATTAACTTATTTCACTTTTCATACATTGACTTAGTTTACTTTTACCCACTTTTAACTAACAATAACAAAAATAACTAAATAATATTGCACATAAATTATATTGTAATTGACATTTGACAGCTAACAGATTACATATAATTTTGTTTTTTTTATATGCTGCGTTCGGAAATTGTTAGTCTAAGTGAGGTAAAGAATCCATTCAAACCCTTTTGTAACTTTGCTATGCAGGCTTGATGTTATATTGATAACATTTGCAAGCTATGTTGATAACTTTTATTAATTTAAATTTTTATTGGAAATTATTTTAACTTTCTTTATTTTTAGTTTTTATGTTTTTTTTTCTCTGTGTTTTTGATTACTTGTATTTTTGTTATAGTGTTCCTTTTTGTATATGTTGTTTAAGTTGCCACTATAACTTTGTTTTTTGTCATAGTTCATTCATTTTTCTCTTGCCATTTCATGTAGCTGGCGGGTTGGAGGATTGTTGGTGATTGCAATTTAATATTATAATTGTGTATTTTATTTTAATTTTATTTATTTATTTTTATTTATTTATTTTATTTTTATTTTATTTATTTTATAATTATAGTCCATATATATTTGTTATGTCGTCTAATATTAGTATTGATAGTGATTACTTTTTGTCTTTGTCGTCGTCCGACGATTCGTTGAGTGATGCTAGTTACCACAGTACATCTCCTCCTCCACTTAATGTCGCCATAGATTCTTATTTCTCAGATTGCCTGAAAAATTTTAATATCATCCATATTAATGCTCAAAGTATACCGGCTCATTATCCTGATATGCTTGCGTCATTTGATTCCCATAATATTCACGCCATACTTATATCTGAGACATGGCTGCAGCCATGTCTGCCGTCTACATCTTACGCACTACCAGGTTTCAAGCTTATTCGTAACGACCGCATTGATAGGCGAGGGGGTGGGGTGGCGATCTATTTAAGATCCCACATCCCGTTCGCCATACTTAGTTCGTCATCCCCATCTGCTCAATTCGATGCGGCCGAACATTTATGTCTTGAAGTCTCACTTACCAACTGCATTAAAATCCTTCTTGGCGTGTATTATAACCCTAATTCTCAGAATAATTACTATTCTTCTTTTGAAACCCTATTAGATAATTTAACACCTAATTACAGCCATTCCATTATAATGGGTGATTTTAATACGTGCTTACTTAAAGGCGACACCAATAGTAAGAAATTAGTGGCTATAACAGAATCCCATAATATAAAAATTTTACCTCTATCGGCTACCCATTATTTCCCCGGCTGTTCTCCATCGCTTCTTGACCTTATTATGGTCTCTTCCCCAGATTCTGTTGCTAAATTCGGCCAATGTTCCGCCGATGCTTTTTCCTATCATGACATGATTTACCTCTCTTATAAACTCCGTCCTCCTAAATTTAAACCGAGAACACTTCTGCAGCGTAGTTTTGGTGGAATGGATCAAAGCCGTCTTTGTGATGATGCCGGTCATTTAGATTGGTCTGCGGTCTACACTGCTGAGACAATTGACCAAAAACTTAACGTGTTTAACTCCTTAATAACGCAGCTGTATGACAAACACGCACCTATAAAACCAATCAAAAGAAAACATCTTCCAGCACCTTGGTTGACGGACCAAATAAAATACCTTATAAAACAAAAGAATAAGGCCAAGTACAAATTTAAATTAAATGACTCCGACTCTAACAGGGAGAAGTATATCAAAGCGCGAAATCGCTGCAATACATCTTGTAGAGATGCACAACGACGCCATATTTATCAATCTGTCGAAAACGGCGACACAGCTAAAACATGGAAATTTCTCGAATCACTTGGAGTTGGTAAATCTTCTCTTAATACTCCTGTTAATCTAGATATTGAACTTTTGAGTCAACACTTCTCATCTTCAAGCTTACTTAATAGTGGCGATAAAACAAACACATTAAATATTATTTCTACTTACCCAACTCCTGCCTTTCCTCCGTTTAGCTTCACGTCTTTTACTGAATGTGATGTTAAAAAGAACATTATGTCTATATCCTCGAATGCTGTTGGCACAGACTGTATTAGCCGTAATATGATCATTCCCATCCTTGACATTGTGACTCCCATTTTGACCCATATTTTAAATTTTTCCCTTACCTGCAGCAAGTTTCCTGATACATGGAAGGATGCGCAAATTATCCCCATCCCTAAAAAAGGTAATCCCTTAACAGCTTCTGATTACCGTCCCGTTTCAATTCTCCCTTTCCTATCCAAGGTCCTTGAAAAGCTTGTCTCACATCAACTAAATAGTTTCCTTAATGAGCATTCCCTTCTCAATCCTCTCCAATCAGGCTTCCGTGCAGGTCATAGTACGGCTACAGCTTTAGTTAAAGTCACAGATGACATTCGATTGGCCATGGATTCCAAACAACTCACAATCTTAGTGCTTCTTGATTTTAGTAACGCATTTAACTGCGTAGACCATGACATCTTGTTGAGTATGTTACGTTCTTTTAACATATCTCCATCCGTAAAAGACTGGCTTCAAAGTTACCTCAGTGGCAGAAGACAGCGAGTTCGTGTGGACGAAACATACTCGTCATGGCGCGAAGTCCGCGCTGGGGTACCTCAAGGTGGCGTGTTGTCTCCGTTACTTTTCTCAATTTTCATTAATTCAATTGCTCATGTCATCTCTTCTCTCTACCATATGTATGCAGACGATGTCCAAATTTACCGACACTCAACCCTTGATAGATTATCTGACGCTATCGCTGCCATCAACAATGATTTGTCGGCTATTCATAAATGGAGTCAACAGTATGGGCTTAACATCAATCCCGCAAAGTCACAGGTCATTGTTGTTGGCAGTTCAGCCATGATGGCAAGGGTTGATTGGGCGGAGATGCCACGGGTTGTGTACAATGGTACTAACTTGTCCTACTGCTCCAATGTTAGAGACCTTGGTATACAGCTTGATAGTACTCTCTCATGGTCGGAGCATTTAAAGAATATTGGAAAAAAAACATACGCCTCGTTAAGTTCGTTGCGACGACTACAAAACTTACTGCCAATTCCTACTAAAACTATGCTTGCAAACTCTCTCCTTCTTTCAATTCTCGATTACGCGGACGCAAGCTATCTTAATCTTACCGAGGACCAACTTAATTATCTTGAGCGATTACAAAATCTAGCTATTCGGTTTATTTTCGGTCTCCGAAAGTATGACCACGTTTCAGAGTTTCGTTCAAAGCTCAAGTGGCTCCCTATACGCCGTCGCCGGAACCTGCATACTCTTTCTCTTCTGTACTGTGTGTTATTTAATCCAAATGCTCCTCAATATCTGAAGGAGAAGTTCGAATTTGTAGGAGATCAGTCCAGAATGCGACCAGCACGTAGGCTCATTCTGAAAATGCCTGCTCACAACAGTAAATATTACAGAAAGTCGTTCACTGTTCAGGCAATAACTCTCTGGAATGACCTACCATTGAGCATTCGACAGTCTAAAACCCTATATGCTTTTAAAAAATCCTTAAAGAACCTATATCTCTCATCAGAGTAATGACGACGACATGATTATGACAAATGTATGTATTATGTATTTATATGTTTGTATGTATGTATGTATTTATATGTATTTGTATGTATGAATGTAAGTATGTATGTATGTATGTATGTATGTATGTATTTATTGATATATGTACGTATGTATATTATTGAATATTTATTACTGCTATTTATTTTTGTATGTGTTTAGGTTATATATTTATTTTAAGAATATCTAATGTACCACCCTATACTGTCTCCAAACACAATCCTCTGACCCCAGGTTGCCTGGAAGAAATGGCTAATAAGCCATAAGGCCGCCTTTTGTTATACCGTTAGTTTTAAGTTTGTATTTTATTTTATTTTTTTGTAATTGTCTGTATTGAGACTGTGGTGTGCAAAAAAGTATTAAATAAATAAATAAATAAATAAATGTACTCCTAAATAACTATATACTACGTAGTAGCAATAAATAAGTCTATTAATGACAACTTCCAACAAGGTTGCGTTAAACGTCTTACGCTGATAGAGAGAGAAAGATACATAAATGTAGAATGTAGGAGAGAGAAAGAGATAGTCTGTATATTCCAAGCAATTGAACATGGTATTCTTGCTATGCTAGCTAGCTATACGTACTAGTTGTTCTATATAAATTAATTTATATATATATTAATATTTTTTAAGTTTGTTTTGATACACATAATTTAATAGAGCAGTATTTTATTTTCAAATTTACTGGATAAGAATTGCTTACAATTGCGAAGTTTTACTTCTATATACTAAGTATTTTATCTTATTAATATATAAATAGTTACTGAATGTAATTATTTCCAGGAGGAATATGAGAGCAACGTCCGCACCGCTCTGTACCTGGTGGCTGTCGCTGCGAAACTGTTGGAGGCTCCTGGCAACGATGAGGTCAGTTACAAAGAGTTCATTAATAATATTACGACATATTAATCGAAATCGATGGCGGTAGATGATAAAATAACAAGACCAACTGACAGACACTCACATCTCGTCTGCCCGTGATCACGGTGCCTGTAAAGTTATCGAAACGTGGGGAGTATCTAGTTTTTTACAGAAATAAAATCGCGTAGAGTAATCCGAAAAATATAAGTTTCATTTAAATATTAATTGGAAGCCTTGATTTTTATTCTTGGTCTTCATATATTTTTATTTGAATCATAAATATATTGTTTAAAATTATAGGCCATACATATTTTTATAATATTTACCAGAATATGTATAGCCTATTATTTCAATCAATATAGGTCATACGTTTTTGTAATATTTAACAAAATGTTTCATCTCCCATTATTTGAGCTCTATGTTCGTTCCATCTCTATCTATATCTCTCTGTTAGAGCACGTCGTCGTCTGTCCGTCGCGCCATCTTCCATCTCCGCGGCGCCCGCCTCAGATCAGGTCAGACTCTGCTTCACCTGGCCGTGGACCGACGCACTCCTGTAGATGACTTCCACACGAGCGACGTGTGCCAGTTAGTATATAAAATTATATATTACTGATAATATTTTTATTATGTATAGTATTGAATTATGCTATGAAAAAATCAGGTGTTAAAAAGTTTTGTGATGTTAAAAATTGTTTGTATAATACTTTATGATCGTCAGTGTAGTTTAATTTACCCAAATCATAATGAAAATGTATTTTCTATAGTAAAGCATTCAATGTTTTAGCTACACAAACATGGTATTGTACAACACTTTACATTTAAAGTAACTCACGAGATAGTTGTGTAAATTTTATAAACTTTTTTGGACATATAACTATCATAATAATGGGTGTGATCACTCAGGTTTCAGTCCGATGTCTATTATTATTTAAGATCTTCTATCCCACCAATATATAATGTCCGCTACTATTGAACATGTTTTATCATACTGGAATCTCTAGTCTGAAATTCCATACTATTAAGGATCTTTTATAATACCGATGTTTGTCCCCTACTATTTAAGACCTTGTTCCTCGTTGACTCCTCATATCCCCTACTACATACTATTTAGTATCTTCTATACCTCCCTTATAGTCAGTGGTGGCCTAGTGGTTAAAGGGCCCGGCTCTCATTGCCGAGAGTTCGGGTTCAAACCTGGCAAGTACCAATGTGATTTTTCCGAGTCATATGTACATTCTAAAAGTATTTAGACACCACTGACATACGGTGAAGGAAAACATCATGAAGAAACCTGGACTTATAGTTTCACAATTATAAGTTTGAAATCACCAACCCGTCTTGAGCAAGCGTGGTGATTAATGCTCAAACCTTCTCCATGTGAGAAAGAGGAATTTGCTCAGCAGTGAGCTCTGATAGGCTGATGACGATACCTCCCAATGTCTGGTACATGATCCCTACTATTTAGTATCTTCCACCCTCCATGTATGTATTTCACGTCCCCTACTTCCAGGTTCCCGTGTCCCGTGACCGCCCGCCTGCTCCTAGAGTGCGGGTCAGCGGTTGACGCGGCGGATGACGCTCGCCGCACGCCGCTACACGTCGCACTCATATCATACCAGCTCGTACCAGGTCAGTCATAATGATCAAGAAATATTATTGATACTACAAGTACATGACAAGCGCTACTGATACCTGATATAATCCTACTAATATTATAATTGCGAAAGTTTGTGAGTGTGTGTGTATGTTTGTTACTTCTTCACGCTCAAACGGCTGAACCGATTTTGATAAAATTTTGTATACATGAGGCTGACGTCCAGGAATAACACATAGGCTACTTACATCCCGCAGGTAACACCGCGGGGCGCAGCTAGTTATATCTATAGTAGAAGCTGTCACTAATGAAGAATTAATTTCCGTTTTTGACCGTTTATGTATTTTGGAAGAATTGTAACTTGACCGGTCCATTATAAAATAATTAGATGAACTTCCTATATTAGTTTGTCTGTTAGTGTTAGTTGATTTTTTTTATTAAAATATTTGGTTCTTTGTTTGTATATAGATTAGAAATGACGATTACAAAAAACCTTCAATTACATGTTTATACAAAAAGAATAGTTGTCTTTTCGGTTCATTAAACATATTAAATTCACATCTATTTCCACCTAGCTGTCTTTCAGGTATATATATCTTTATATATATAAAACTTTTGTGTCACGTGTTTGTCCACGATGGACTCCTAAACTACTAAACCGATTTTAAATTTGGTTTGCATTTCATGTGCATTTTTATCCAACTTGATAGATAGGATAGCTTACATCTCAATTTATAGTCACAATATTATTTTATTGCAAATTATTTGTCTATTAAAGAAAATTATTTGTCATTATTACAATTATCTGTTGACTGAGTTAAGTAAGTATTCGATAGATGGCGCTATGTTAAAAATACGAACGTCATATATGAGCGACTATTTAATAACAGCATAACCACCACGTGTTTCTGAGGCTAAGTTACAACCTAAATTTATTTATTAAAAAAGCGTATTTTATATTTCTTGATTATAAGGCGATACGAAGTTCGCCGGGTCTTCTAGTATATATATATATATATATATATATATATATATATATATATATGTGTCTGTCTGTCAGATGAGCGTGGCCTATCAGCGGCGGCTGTCCGCGGCGCCGTCCAGGAGCTTTTGAGCCACTCGGCGCACGTGGATGCGGTAGACGCGGCCGGCATCACGCCACTGGTAGCGGCCATCGGAGGTAATACATACTTCTTCTACCTGGCAATTTCCCAGCTTTAGCCAGAGTCTGCCTTTCATGTTGTGAATAGTTTTGGCTCATTGTTTCTACAAACGGCCGCCTGCCTGACATCAACCCTCTTTGGGAATGCATTAATCAGTGGTGTCTAAATACTCTTAGAAAGTACATATGACTCGGCAAAATCACATTGTTACTTGCCAGGATCGAACCCGCGCCCTCCGCAACGAGAGGCTGACCCTTTAACCACTAGGCCACCACTGACTATACACTTATAACACACATAGAGGCTCATGATAAACTGACTGGTGAAACTGACTTACTGGAAATTGAAATTAGAACCAATTGGAGTACCAAAGAATGATTAAAATTTTACATCTGTATATATTGCTATGAATGTATCGTCTACATAATTAAACATATTTTTTATAATAGTTTAAGTTTAAGCCACTTCTTAATTATTAGTTTTTTATTCCGTTGTTATAATTCGCTATAATATATGAAATAACTTTTTTATGTTTGTAAACAAATAAATTTAAGATTTAGTAATTTTTCCGGTTGTTTAGTAATATTATACCTACGATTCCTATTGTGTTAACCATATATAATCTGTAATGTCCAAGGTCCCGCTGAGAGCCTAGTTCGTGCCGCGCTAAGTCCCCGCCTGTCGTGCTTGGCGGCCGCAGCCCTAGCACTCCACGGCCGTACCTACCGACCCTCGCAAGTACCCAGAGACCTGCACGCCTTCCTTCACATGCACGGCGTCAACCCAGCTAAGTGATCAGAAACCACCAGAAAATGAGCAGATACCACCAGAAATAATGATGCCAACCATAGATTAAAAATAATAACTCATGGGAAATACTCATCTATCGGCAACCCTGGCTGAGTTTCACATCATGTGAAATGTTCATTGGAATGTTTTGACAACCCTACCTGATTAATGTTTCAGAATATAGGGATTAATCTAGAAATTATCGTTCGTCAACGACCCCATCGAAATCATATCACAGCGCGTAGGGTATATGGGATTATCGTTATTGACAACCCTATTTAGGAGCTGCACATTAAGACTGGAGGCTTGTAGGCAACCCTAGCTGAGTGTCATAATTGATAGAAGAGTGTCTTGGAAGGAGCTTGTGTCAACCCTAGCTTAATGTCGCAATTTATAAAAGCTTATAAAATAATTGCTAAAATATCGATACTCGATAGTTGAACGTAACAACCCTAGCAATAAAAAATTGCTTATTACGTAGAATCCTAAAGCTAGCGACATGAGTGGGTTTGACGATATATTTAATAAATACATAATCAATATTTTCATATAACTTATATAATACTCCTAATGTTAGTTAATGTTGGATATTAATAATATATAATGAAACTATTGACATTACAATATGTTAATATTGAAGCTGTTATTTTGTTATTTCAGTTGCTAATTGACTTATGTATTGACAAAACTGATTAAGAACAAGATAATTTATAACTGATTCCTATAGCTGATGCTATGTAGAAAACTAGATGCATTTGAGGCTGTATTAGCAGTAGAATATTATGTTTCTCTTAAAAAATGCTACTTAAAAGATATTATTAGAATTTACAAGAAACGGATTTTAAAATAATTCTCAGTAATCACCATCTATATAATACTTAATATTTTCATATTTCATAGTGAAAATAAATGTTTCTAAAGTAGCTCAGAACAATAGATTTAGCTTCTCTATCAAAAATCTTTTAGATGAAAATTAATACATAATGTATGTAGGTTGTGTGCATTATTTAACAATCAGATGATATATATACATATATATAAATAAAAGATTGAACACAGGGTTGTATTGTGTTCCAATCATTATATCGAAGATGCTCAAATATATAATTTATTGTATGAAATGTGATAATTAATAGAATTAATTAATGTTAAGATTACAAGTACATTTATTATATGTAAATGCTTGACTAACACATACGAACGTATGTATGCTTGTACGCTCATACCAAATGACAATTTCTGCACAGATAATACAGATTTTTCATAATCTGTGGATTTTTTTAATAAAATGCACAGATAATACAGATTCTTATAATCTGTGGAATTTTTTTTGTATAGAAAAGCTTAATTAATTCTCCGTTCCCAGTCTTTGCATATTTAAACTGTCTTAAAGTACTAGTCATTGTATATAGATGTAGTTGTTAGTGTTTTAATGTGTAATGCAAAATTATATTTTATTATAGTTTCGGTCTTGTACGAGAGTGGCGTCGCACTCGATATATAACTCATGGTTATGCACAAAATATTATTTAAAAAACTATAAATTGTGTTTAAATATATTTGATTTATTTTTATAATTTAAATATATTTGTACTGTGTAATATTTACTGAGATACTTCTGTTGTCAAGTAACAAATAGTTTTTTGAATATTAATTGGTCGCAACAAAATGGCGCTTTTTTTTTAAATTATGCCAACACCAATGTAATGATGCTGACAACATTTCTAAATTTTTTTATAAATCTATAACTGTATTTCTTGATGATACATCAATAATTTGTTTCAAATAATTTCATTAATAAAAATATAGGACAGAAAACAATTTTCTTTAGAATTTGTGTATATTTTAGTAAAAAAAATTTAAAGTTTAATTAATCATGACTTTTAATTAGTACTGTTTTGTAACATTTTGTAGGTAAAATTACTTAATTCTTTATAAAGCATTGAATACAATAGAATTTATAGAATGTCATATTTATAAAAGGTTTTTTTTAAATTGTCAACTAAAGGAATTGTTTTCACGACTCATTTTTGTTTTAAAAAAATCTGTTTAAAAACAGTAAAATTCAAAAGGAAATTAAACTGTGGCCATATTTAAAGATTAGATTATTAATTTTTAAGCATTTCCAACATAAAAAGGTCAAATTTCAATAAATAATATATGTATTTTGAACCACTTATGATTCACATATAAAGGATATATAGCAACTTTTTTTTATTAATTTCATACAAAATTATTGTGATAACAAAATATGTCAATTCATTTGTAATAATTATGTTATTAATAAAAATATAAGTCTCAAGTATAGTTTTATAACAGACAACATTTAATATTGTATCATAATACATTTATGGTCAAAAAAAAACTTAGTAGATGAATATTGTTAAACTATTTAAACATATATATGTATATTTTTTTGGAGCCCAACGATAAAATTCACAAAAATATTTAATTTTTTAGTCTATAATCTATATTAAAATGTTGCTATCGTGAAATAATATTTTTTATATTGTAAATCAGTTATTTTAACTTAATAATTCAAGCAAAGAAAAAAAAATTTAGTTACCCTTTACATTATTCATAGAAAATACAAAATATATGTATTTATTATATTTATATTTAATTTGATTATTTAAAATTGGAAAGTTTAGTTACATAACATACTTATGTATTATATTAATTTATTTATATAGTAGTAAGAAGTGCAATAATAGTAGTTTTTTAATAGAATAGTTTTAAATATAGCACAAATATTATATGTATATAATATATTTTTAATAGTAGTCCGGTTTAGGAATCTCATGTTATTTAAAATGTTCTTAATATGTATGTATTTATCAATTGTCAGATGTCCTGTATTTTGTAGATGTATGTTGGAAATTAAATAGTAATATCAAAGATAATAATGAAATTATTGTAAATATTTGGATTATATTAATACGTTTATTTTTCGTCCGAAATGAATCGAAATAAATATATTAAAGGAATCGTTGTGTTTTATTAGTTTATACCCCCGACTTCATCCGCGTTCCGTGTTATGTTAATAAACAACATGCCAGTGCTCATAAATGAAGGAAGCTTTTAAGAACTTTAATAATTTTAGTATTACTGAAGATATCGTAGTTATTTTTTAAATTCTTATACATATATATGTTTTATATGAGATACAATTAAAACATACAGTTTGATACATAACAGTACCGTGCAGAAGTGCATATTTCACATACAAATATAATTACATTGATACATATCAAGATTTCTTTTTAATTTTATATGTAAATTCTCTGTCTATTTGTCTGTATGTTTGCTGTGAACTGATTGTTTCAATGTATTTTAATTAATAATTGGTTCATGTGCGAGATTATAATGTTTTTCACTGAAGTGATTTATTTGGAAAAATGCTAATAGAGATTCTTGTAATTTCAATTCGAGACGTTAAAGGAAGGATGTTTGACGTCGAAGTCAGTATGCGTGTGTAGCTCTCAAAGAGATGAATCGTTATTGATGTGATGTTTTTCACTTAAAAAGCTTGCGATAGTTCTTAGCTATGTTTGGCAAATAACTTTCTAGCAGAGTAAGAGCATCAGGTCTAGTTCAAAATAATGACGGCATTTGGTCTAGTCAAGTCTAGTCTAGTCAAGTACCAATGTTATTCTTCCGAGTCATATGTATTTTCTAAGAGTATTTAGACATCACTGACAGATGGTGAAGGAAAACATCGTGAGGAATCCTGAGCTTATAATTTAACAATTATTAGTTTGAAATCATCAACCCGTCTTGAGCGAGCGTGGTGATTAATGCTCAAACCATCTCCATGTGAGAAGAGGCCTTTGCTCAACAGTGGGCTCTGATAAGCCGATGGTGAAAATTTCTGTCTTAAGTTATTTACTATTACATACTTATTAGTACATATATTCGTAAAATGGCAATAAATGCGTAGCGTATTTTATATTTACTAAAATGTTGTAATTATAAACTTGATATTAAAACTGGCTTCCTTATTAGGAAAACGTAGAAGTTCCGTTGTCAACTAGTTTTTCACCGCGGCATCGCCCGCTTGGATGGCCACTATCACTTTAATGGTAATCTACGTCCTACTTATCTTCTAACCAAGTTATGCTATAATAAATTCTATACGATGTTAACAGATAGACAGTATTTTTTTATTTATATTATGTATACAAATAAATATCAGCGTGAAGTAGCCTTTAGTGGCTGCGTTTCGTCCGATGAGTGACAGAGCCGGTTGCCCTTTCCCTATTCCCACCCTTTCCTACTATTTCCTTATTCCCACCCCTCCTTATTCCTAAAAAACAAGGTTGGCAACGCATCCGCAACAAATATACTGTGGATGTCCATGGGCGACGGTACTACCTTACATCAAGTAGGCTGTCTGTTCGTTTGCCACCTTTCACATATAAAAAAATTGCAGTGTCTGTTTGTAATATTAAAATAACCGTTGTTTACTACATGCATATAAATATATACGGTACAAACACCAAAATAATATTATTTACAAATTTTTGTCTGTCCTTCTATTTATAATATTTTCGGAGGAACGAGTCTCAATTTGTGTTTAATGAGAACAATGGTCTTTTGTATGTCTTCCGTTCATCTCAATAATATTCAAGTATGCGTTACAATAATACAATACACAAGTCAATCATATTAATTTTAACTGTTCTCTTTAACTTACAAGTTTCTAATCTAAACTTCGCAGAACAATTCTACAACGGGAGAAAACATATAAAATATTATTTATTTGTCTTCTACATTAATTTATTTCATTGTTTCTGTCTACTAACTAGTGATTTGTAATAGTGTATTGGCGTCGTCTTCCGTCTTCCGATCTCATGTGAAGTTGAGACAATGGTAAGAAGTACAAAATTGTCGGGACATCCGATATTTTATATAAGTATTGTAATTTGGTAGTTTAATACTTAACTACTCTTAATAGATAACTCTATTTATTATATACTCTACTATGTATGATGCTTTATGTATAT